GTTCAGTCATTTAAAATATATATCTGTACAACGATTTAGTTTTTATTATATTTACAGTTTTACAACTACCATCGTAGTCAATTCTTTTTTTTTTTTAAAGATTTATTTTTATTTATTTATTTTTATTGGAAAGGCAGATATACAGAGAGGAGAGACAGAGAGGAAGATCTTCCGTCCGATGATTCACTCCCCAAGTGAGCGCAACGGCCAATGCTATGCCAATCCGAAGCCAGGAGCCTCTTCCGGGTCTCCCACGCGGGTACAGGGTCCCAAAGCTTTGGGCCGTCCTCGACTGCTTTCCCGGGCCACAGGCAGGGAGCTGGAAGGGAAGCGGGGCTGCTGGGATAGAACCGGCGCCCATATGGGATCCTGAGCGTGCAAGGCGAGGACCTTAACCACTGCGCCATCATGCCAGGCCCATCATAGTCAATTTTTAATTTTCTTGTCACCTCAGAAAGACACCTGCACTCTGTCCCACATACACTAATACACATTCGAATTCTGAGAAATTGCTGCTCTACCTTCTGTATCAAAATATTTGCCCACTCTGTAGTTTGGGTGTAAGTACAGTCATATGTTTAAGTTTCTATTTGTGACTGACATCTTATCCTACTTTTCAAAGTTTGTCCAATTTATAATATGTATAAATGCTTTTTTCTGGTTTTGGCAAGCATCCTCTGTGTATATATTTTTACATAGCCTTTCCTGATTGGATGGGCATTTGAGTTATTTCTGTCTTTTTGGCTGTTATGAATACTGTGGTTATATTTGTATGCATCTTTTTGTTGATATGCTTTTATTTCTCTTGGATGTGATCCTTAAGAGTACAATTCCTGGGTCAAATGATAATTATTTCCTGAGGTGCCAGGCTGTTTATCACAGTAGATGTACCACTTTACACTCCTACCAGCCAGCAACACAGGGGGATTCTGATTTCTGCGTGACATCACTGGCATTTGTCTTTGTATAGTTTTTTAATATAGCGTTCCCATTGGCCTGTTCAAGTGCATTTCAGTGTGGTTTTATTTGCAGTTCCCTGATCATCAACATTGAGCATCTTCCTGTGCTTTTTTGCATGGTGGTCTTTGGAGAAATGCCTATTCAGATATTACATCTGTTTTTAAATTGGATTGTCTTTTACTTATTGTGTTATAAGAGTTCTTTATATACTCAGTTTTAGGAAAAGCAGATGTTTTTTCACATCTGCATTTGTGTGGGTATGTTTCCATCATATAGATCTTTAATTAGCTCCTACCATGTTTTCTGATTCTCAGTTTTATGTTTCTGTTAAATTTATTCTGAAGTATTTTATTTCTGATGTGACTGTATATTGGATTATTATTTAATTTTTGGATTATTTGTTACAAATGTGTGTGTATAAAAGTGCAGCTCCTGTTATCTGTTGATCTTATATCCTGCAATGTTACTGAACCCTGAGTCTAATTGTCTCTAATAGAGTCTTTGGGTTTTCTCTAAATAAGGACATATCATCTGCAAGTAGACGGATTTTAACTTCTTTCTTTCCAGTCTGGTTGCCATAGCACATTTTTCATTACTTCAATTTCAGCAGTATTATTTTATCTGAAAAATAATTCCACTCAATATGTGATTTTATGAAGGATTCTAGATTCCTTGGGTTATTTTTTGGTATAAAACAGTAACATGAAATCCCAGACCCTATGGAATTATAATAAAATTCAAAATAAATTTTTTAGAAAGTTCACGGACAGGGCCTGGCATGATATTCTAGTGGCTGAAGTGTCCTCGCCTGGCATGTGCTGGCATTTCATATAGGCACCAATTTGTATCCCAGCTGCTCCACTTCCCATCCAGCTCCCTGCCTGTGGCCTGGGAAAGCACTTGAGGACAGCCCAAAGCTTTGGGACCCTGCACCCACATGGGAGACCTGGAAGAAACTCTTGGCGCCTGGCTTCGGATCAGCTCCACTTTGGCTGTTGTAGCCATTTAGGGAATGAACCAGAAGATGGAAAATCTTTATGTCTCTCCCTCTCTCTATATATATATCTGCCTTCCCAATAAAAATAAATAAATCTTTTTTTAAAAAGTTCATGGAGAGTGGGATTAAGATACATTTTTGGTGCAAAAAAAATTGAGATATGTGCATTCAAAGTGCTTTCGAAATTTTATGAAAGATGCAGGTTGCTGGAAAGTTATGTGTGGACTCCTTAAGTCCTAGTGTAACTCCTAGTGACTGTGACCAAATGCACATCGCTCTACCCACATCTTAGTTTCCTTACAGATAAATGACCTGTATCATCAGTAACACCGTGATATATTATTTTTATTTTCACATAAATTGGAAAGTAAATGAAACTTAGGGTAAACCTGAATATGTAAAATATCTTCTTTAAACTTATAACATTTAAAAGCTCTCTTTTCTGTAATAGTTTTAACTTTTATCTCTTAATACAAAAAAGAAACATTTTTGCTTAGACTCATTGGTTGTATAAAGCAAAAATAGAACCCTCGTAACACAAGTCAAGAACCTGATGTTAGCTTTGTTGCCTCCTCAGTTATCACCTAGAAAGCCCCTGCGACTACACATTCTCAATCCTTTTCCTTTATTGAAATGCTGAGGAGCACTCCTGATTTTTCCACTTTTATACCACTGCTCTTTGGAGTCATGATCTACTTTGCCACCTGGTGGCTGCAGTGTGTACTGCCTCTCTCGTGCTGCTGGTGCCTCCTGCTGCAGTGCAAGGTTAGGATTACATGGGCAGGTCTGGGCTGTGGAACCAGTCTGCTGGAATTGAATCCCTGCCTCACTACCTTATTTGCACATTAACTTACCTCCCAGGGTTGTCATATAAAATGAGTTTGAGTTATTGATGTTCTGATCTTATTTAGCAGTAATAATCAAAATTGCAAAGTCAAGTGAGAGTGGAATCTTCTATATTTTAAAAAATATGTATTAGTTACATTAGTTTAATTTTTATTATTTTGGTTTTATGACACAATTTAATAAGAACTGGGGTCTCTCTCCCTTCCCCCTCCTCAAATTTCCCCACTGATCTCCCCTCGACTTTTACAATGGGTGTTTTTCATGAACTTTCACAAATCCATCATGCTGCCACTGAAGTGTTTCTCAGAAACGTAGGCTCGTACAGTGTTGGAAAGTCCAACATCCAACTGTCAGGACATTATCAGCCAAGAGTGGAATCTTTTAACCCTTCATATTAATGCAAGTGAAGTGGTGAATAATGTCTAATGTTGGCAAAAGATGTAGAGAAACAGGAATGCTAATAATGTGCTTAATGGGAGAGAAAGTTGACATAGTCTTTCTGGAGAGCAGATTAACAGTTGCCTAACACCTTAAGATGTGGTTGCCATAGGGCCAGGTAGACCCACAGCAAGAATACTCCTTGGGGAGGCACAGTGTTATAGAATTGTTTACAAAGTGTGTAAATATGGGCCTGGCGCGATGGCGCAGTGGTTAAGGTCCTCGCCTTGCACGCTCAGGATCCCATATGGGCGCCGGTTCTATCCCAGCAGCCCCGCTTCCCTTCCAGCTCCCTGCCTGTGGCCCGGGAAAGCAGTCGAGGACGGCCCAAAGCTTTGGGACCCTGCACCCGCGTGGGAGACCCGGAAGAGGCTCCTGGCTTCGGATCGGCATAGCATTGGCTGTTGCGCTCACTTGGGGAGTGAATCATTGGACAGAAGATCTTCCTCTCTGTCTCTCCTCTCTGTATATCTGCCTTCCCAATAAAAAAATAATAAAATAAATCTTTAAAAAAAAAAAAACAAAGTGTGTAAATATGGACTTGTTTGTTAAGAATACATACCTCTAGGGGCGGAGGACTGGGAAAGGGAAACTGTCCTGCAGCAGTCGTCTGCATAACTGTGTGTGTGCACATATGCACACGTACTGTTACATTGTTTATGATTTCGATGCCATGGAGCATTTTTGTTTTTTAACTTTTAAATTGTTATGAAGATAACAAATTTCATGTATTTCGTGGATATAATTCTGGTTTATTTCACTAAACATAGTGGCCTCCAATTACATCCATTTCATTCTACAAGAATTTCATTATTTATTTACAGCAGAGTAGTATTCTATCATGTATGTACCACAGCTGCTTTAACCAGTCAGTTGATGGACATCTGGATGGACTCCATTTCTCAGCTATTGTGAGTTGAGCTACTATAAACATAGTGTACAGATAACTCTTTCATGTGCTGATTTCACTTCCTTTGGTAGATTTCCAGGAGTGGAATCGCTGGGACATGTGGCAGATCTATTTTCAGAGTTCTGAGGAATCCCCGCCATCTTCCGTACCATTTGTACTGTTTACATTCTTACCAGCAATGTATCAGAGCACTCACTTTCCTGCATCCTCACCAGCATCTTCTACTCTTTTCCTGTTTAACGGTCATCCTCACTGGTCTGTAGTGAAATCTCATTGTGATTTTTATTTGCATTTCTCTCATGTCTCGTGGTCCTGAGCATCCTTTCATGTATCTGTTGGCCATTTGTATTCCATCCTTGAAAAATGCCTGTTCATATAACATTATACATTTAAAAAAAAAAAAAGCCAAAGGTATGTCTTGTGATGGATAAATCAGATGAGAAAGAAATTAGAAAAACCAGTTAAAGAATTTTTTCCCTCATTCTGGGGTGAGAAGTATTTAAGTCTGAAACAGCAAAAGCATGAAGAAAAGGCTGATTTAAGTGACACTTTTGAAGTAGAATCTAATTTTACTGTATAGATATAAAGAATGAGGGAAGATGATTCTGAAGGCTTATAAAGTATGAATGATCATGACATCAAAAATCAGTCTACATCCTGAAGACAGATCTTCAATAAATATTTGATTAATTGTTTGAATTAGTTAGCTGATCTTAAGCAAGTATGATTTATGTTTTTTTACAACAAAGAATGATATTGTTGCTTATTGCGAGGTTAGTAGTGTTTCATAATACATAAACAGAAGTTTCTCAGTGTAAGTTCTAAACTGTTGTTGCTTTCTGTTTTCAGGGTGCACATCTGGCCATGATAGACACTCTCATGATGGCTTACACTGTAGAAATGGTCAGCGTGGAAAAGGTGATCACATGTGCTCAGCAGTATTCAGCCTTTTTCCAAGCCACAGATCTGCCCTACGACATCGAGGATGCTGTCATGTACTGGATAAACAAGGTAGGATTGTAATCATGAGTCAGATCGAAACCACTTGAACAGAACCCTTAGAACATGCTATGTATTGGGGACCCTGGGGTGACATGGGGTGGTTGTTCCCCATCCCTGGGTACTGGGGCGATCGGAAGACTGGGTGCGGCTTCTTCTCTTGCTCTCCTCCTCCCTCCAGATACAGGAAGAAGATAAAGAAGGTATGGAAATAGAGGTCTCACCCACTTTCCCCTAGTCCTCGACACTTCCCACCCTAATCAACGGTATAAGCATCATCAAAAATAAAATTAAAAATAATACTAATAATGAGTAGTACTAATAAGAATAAGAAGTAATTCTTACAACCAAAAAAAGTAAAACCCTGGGCTTGACATGGCAGCTCTGTTGCTTTTTTGTTTTGAATCATAATGAAACACAAGTGTGGAATTCACTTAAATATTTTTATTTTAAAAAATCCTGTCAGAATAATGGAAATAGATTTTTGCATATTCAGCAGTGTCTAACAATAAAGATAAATCTAGTTCACATCAGGTTATTACAAAATTCAGAGTACTCAGCCTAGGAAGCTATGCCCAGTTAGTGCCGAGTGTTAATAAATAGTCTCTGAATTCAAAAATAAAATAATTTTCTCACATTTTCAGCTAGAGGTGTACAGGATCATACTGGTTATAGATTTCTCTCTTTGGAGATTTTTGTGAAACTGATTTGGGATCAGCTTATCGATTTTTCACCCCCATTGCCAGCTTGAGTGATTAATTCCTGTTGATCCACTTTGATCACACCTACCACCCTAGAGAAAGGGAAACCTAGCCTACAAACATGTCCTGAACACATTCAAAAGATGACTTCAGGCACCTTTTCTAAGTGCTAACATGAAAATTGTCACAGGAAGCTAAGTGTAAAATCCACTGGTGTCTATTAACATTTTTCAAAGCATCAGTATCAGTGTAGGAGACTCGTGGCATTACTCTGTGTTCACCTTCGGTGATTTTTCCTCCTCAGCCACAGAGAATCCTTGTTGCATACTGGCCCTATTATTGACAGGCAATTGCCCATTTCCCATTCTTGAACAGTTCTTTCTGTTCTTCCAAGTCAGTTGCTTTAAGTCCCCTTTAATTAAAAATATTCAGATTTAAAACTTTGAAGCCTGTTAACTCCTCACACTCTCCCTTGACTTCACAGTCTTCTCCCTGATGTTAGATTCTTGCAAGCAGCACCAGTTCTTTCTCGTCTTCCCTCTCTGTTATTCATCTGGTAATAGCTATTACTTGTCTCTACTTGCACCTATAGCAGTGAATGTGGCTAGAGACATTTATACAAGGAGACAACTTTCACTTCAAATTCCTTTTTTTTTTTTTTCTAATGATAAAGAGCACGCTTTATTTGTAGTGAGCAGTGACAAAGGACACCTCACACTCAATAAGATACCCAGGATGTCTGCTAGTGAAATTGTCTGGAACATGGGTTCCTCTGGTCAGCTTCTCTACAGGATAGGGAAAACTCCAGCCATTGTCCTTAAAGGTAGTTGTGGTCTACTAGAGAAGACCCCTCAAGGGTGTCTTCTTGTTGCTTATAAAGAGCATCTCTCTAGAATTTTTTGAAGTCTCCATTAGTACTTGCATTCTGCGTTCTCTCAGGGCCACACAGACCAGCTTCTGTACAGACTGCTTTGATGCCGGCACCAGAGAAGTCACCTTTGACCGTGATCCGGTGGTTCAGGATTATATCACTGTCAGCATCACCCTGCTTTTCATCAGATGGGGGGGTTCAGTCCTTCTATTGGTGCATCTCCAATGGCAGTTTACTAGCAGCATCTGGTCCCTTTGCCTTCTTAGTTTTCTCTACTTTGATTGGTACAGGAGATTCATATTTATTTTTCTTATCCTTGTTGTTCTTGCCACCTCCAGCACCATGAACACCACTCTGAATTGGACGCAACTTGAACTGGCCACTCAGGCTGCTGATACCAGAGCTTGCTTCCAATTCTTAAGCATGAATTTCAGGTGAACACCCAGTCACTGCCAGTCCAGCAAATGGGCCTTACTTTAATTTACTATTGAATTGTTTTTCCATGAATGCTCAGACTTCATGGAGCACTTCCTCCAGTGTGATGTTTGTACCTACCACTGTCCTTTTGAGAGCAGAGGTAGAAGGTCTTTGGGTGAGAATCTATCTCTTACCTCCCAAATCTGAAGTCTTCCCGCATCAGCTCTCACTGTCACCTTTGCTTACACCATTAGCATGGAGAGTTCCCCACTGCTTGCTGTTTTAGCTCTTCTTGGTTTCATTTTCCGTAGTCATGGATCCTTTGCTTCAGTTTCCTGTTTAATGTGCACGAGAATTCCCTGGGAATTTGTTCAAATATAGAATCTGCCTCTGTAGGTCTAGATGGGAGCTGGAGAGGTTGCACGTCTAACAAATACCAAATGATGCTAATGTTGCTGGTCCGTGAATAGCCCGATAACTCTTGCATCATTGGATCCCTGGACCCTACAGAGTTGCTCTAGTGTTTCTCGCATCCTAATAATCAAAACTTTTTTGTTTAGTTATGCTCTTTCTCCAAATAATAGGATCATTTGGAAGAGTTTTCTTATTCATACCTAGAATTATCTAGAATTATTCCTGGATAATTGGTTAGTAAAGGCTTTTTTTTTTTTTTTAAATTGGAACGTCACATATAGAAAAGAGGACAGAGAGGAAGATCTTCCATCTATTGATTCACTCCCCAAACACCGCAACGGCTGGAGCTGAGCCAATCCAAATCCAGGAGCCAGGAACTTCTTTCTGGGTCTCCCACGTGGGTACAGGGTCCAAGGCTTTGGGCCATCCTCAACTGCTTTCCCAGGCCACAGGCAGGGAACTGGATGGGAAGTGGGGCTGCCGGGATTAGAACCGGTGCCCATATGGGTTCTTGGCACATTCAAGGTGAGGACTATAGTTGCTATGCTGTTGCGCCGGGCCCTAGTAAAGGCTTTTAAGTTGACAGATCTGATGGGTATTTTTCGATTCCTAGATTAAATCTAAAACACAGACTGTGCTCCTGAAGTTTTGGTGGAAAACGCAATGTGTTTGCTAAGGGCTCCACTACTTTGGTGGGATTTGAATGCAAATGTACTCCCCTGCATGGCAGCTGCTTCACCTACGCATGCAAAGTGATCTTCCCTACACATGCAGAGTCCAGGGCTCAGCCAAGAATTTAAGGGTGATTTATACAGATTTCAAATCTACCTCATTAATGACTCCTTCTTCCCAAGATGGTCCTCTACTTAGAGAGTGCCAGATTCCTTATTCGATTCCTCATACCAGCACTACTATGGTTTAAGAGCTAGCCACTGTACCGTATGTGAATCGTAAACAAGGCTTTCTTTTCTTTTCAAGGCTGAATGCTTGCTGGTGTTCATCAGCTTTTGGTTACTTGCCAGTTTCTCCAACAGTTGCCACTTAATTGTCCAAAATTTATAGTTGCTCTCCTTGGGAGGCATTGGGTGACTAGAACTGGAACTCTCAAAGTGACTTTCAGCAGCACAGCTTGGATCATATTGCTTTGCTTAAAACTTTTCAGTCATTTTGCTCAACATTTAAAATGTAAAATTGATGCAAAATATCATTGAATCTGAACTGACCCTCTTCCTTTATTCCAGGCTCCTGATCAGTATTCTTTCTGAAGTATGTCACTAAATTTCAACTGTGTAGCCTTTGTTTCCTATGGACCAGTGAACGTGATGTCTCCTGTTTCTGAACTACTTACGTTCTTCCTTTCTGTACAGACTGGTGCTCTGTCTCATACTTACAGCTTTGCTGGCATGTTTTCCTAGCAGCCCTACTTAGTGCAGGCCCACAGGGGTCAGCATTGTGACTTTGCAGGTCAAGCTATCACCTACAACATAGCCCTGTCTGCTCTGCTTTTCATTTGGGTGTCTGCTATTAATGTACCTAGAAAAGCAGTGGAAGATGACCTAAGTACTTGAACCCCTGTAGAAGACTCTTTTGGAATTCTATCCAGTTTTAGGCCTGGACTAGCCCTGACCATTGCTACCATTTGAGTAGTGAGGCATCAGATGGAAACTCTTTTTCTGTCTTTCCCCTCTTTGACACTGTGCCTTTGAAGTAAATAAATCTTTAAAAAAAAAAAAAAAAGCCCTGGCACAATAGCCTAGTGACTAAATCCTTACCCCTTGCATCCACTCAGATCCCAGATGGGCTCCAGTTCTAATCCTGCTGTTCCATTTCCCATTCAGCTCCCTGCTTGTGGCCTGGGAAAGCAGTAGAGAATGGCCTAAAACCTTGAGACCCTGCACCCACATGGGAACCCAGAAGAAGCTTCTGGCTCTTAGCTTCAGATTAGCTCAACTCTGGCCTTTGCAGTCACTTAGGGAGCGAACCAGTAGATACAAGATCTTTGTCTCTGTATCTCCTTCTGTCCATATATGTCTTTCCAATTAAAAAATAGGCTAAACCCTAGTGTCTAAACCCTCACCTTGCATATACCAGGATCCCATATGGACGCCAATTTCTATCCCAGCTACTCCACTTCCCATCCAGTTCCCTGCTTGTGGCCTGGGAAAGCAGTCGAGGACAGCCCAAAGCCTTAGGACCCTGCACCCACATGGGAGACCTGGAAGAAGCTCCTGGCTTCGGATCAGCTCAGCCCTTTGCTGTTGTGGCCACTTTGGAGTGAACCAGTGGACAGAATATGTTTGTCTCTGTCTATGCTTCTCTCTGTAAATCTGCCTTTTCAATAAAAAAAGAAAGAAGTATTACTTTGCCTCCTAAACATATTAAAGATAGTATTATCAAGTACCTTTGCTTCCTCCTAGCACTCCACTCACTTCCTGATATAGTAGATGCTCAAGAGGTGTAAAATACTTGGTATTTTTAGTGTTAAATTTCAGTTTAATATCAAATTAATGTTTCATGCTTTAAGGTCAATGAACATTTGAAAGACATAATGGAACAAGAACAGAAATTGAAGGAACATCACACGGTTGAGGCTTCTGGAGGTCAAAAGGTATGTATTTCACAGGAAAAGTTATATGTTTTTGAGATCATGTGTATTCACACATATATATTACTTTGGAAAACATCAACAGATGTACTTATTAAAAAGCACATCTTTTTGGTTAGCTTATACCCCGAAAAGCCATGCTATAAACACTAAGTAAGTGGCAGTACAGAATGCAAATTAATTGGATAATAGTGTTTGTGAAAAAATGACTAAGATTGGAAACCTTCGTGGAGGGTCACTTAGATATAGTATACATTTGATGTTTGGGATCACAGTGCTTGAATTTACTGATATCTCCTGAAAATATGATCCATACTTAATACTTAACCTTTATTTAGATGTTTTCTCCTATATGAGAATGGAATTCTCTTTTACTGTCATTCTGGATGATGCTTCCTTTTTTGTCTTCAACCAGTCTTTGTCTCTCTTACTCCTTATGTTTCCTGGCCTTTCAAGTTGGGTTCCTTCTCTTTCTCCCTGCCCTACCATCAGAGCTGAAACTTTTTATCTTGGCGATAAATCCAGTTATGCCCTTCCATGTTGCTTGTTGCTCTGATTAGAATCAGAAGGTGACATTATTCTAATTCTAATTCTAATGAATTTTCTATGGAAATCTCAGTTTTATATGAGAATGTATAAAAAGTTTATGAAAAATGTGTGTTACAAAACTTATACATAGATATCAGAGTTTTTTTCTCCAAAACTTTTAATTCAGTTTTTTCTTGGTCTTCTTGAAGACCCTGATACAATGGTTAAATTCTGTAGTATTGTATATACATTATAAGCTAATGAATATTTTAAATGCTGACATATGACCCAAAAACATTATTTCTATGGGGAAAAATGCTGTTTATATTTTAGACAACCAGATTAAATGATCTTTAAAAAAAAATGGGCTGGCATGGTGATGTAACAGATAAAGCCGTCACTTGGAATACCTGTATCCCATATGGATGTCGGTTTATATACCAGCTGCTGCACTTATAATCCAATCCAGCTCCTTCCTAAGCTGGGAAAGCAACAGAAGTTGGCCCAAGTGCTTGGGCCCATGCCACCCACATAGGAGACCCAGATGATGCTTCTGGCTTCAACCTGGTCCAGTGCTGGCCATTGCATACATTTGGAGAGTGAACCAGAGGAAGGAAGATTCTTGTTTGTTCTCTCTCTCTCACTCACTTATTCTGTAACTCTGACTTTAAAAATCAATTAAAAAAAAAAGTGGGGAAAAAGTATGGAAATCCAGGCCTTCAGTATAATACACATCTTTTGACTTTTCTATAGCACTTAGCCCATGCAATTGTACTTGTTAACATTCAAGCCATATTTGTTGAGTGAATGAGTGAGTACATTTAAAAAAAGATTATGCGATTGATTCAATTTTAGACATCTGGCCTAGCACACTTTTATTTTAGTACATACATAGCATTTACATCCTTGTTCTCAATAAACTTTATCATTTTTCATTATTAGATTCTTTGTGAAAATAAGTAGTAATTTGACATAATCTTACTACCTGTATAGGTGTGATCATTATGAGAAAAGACTATTACACAATAGATTTAAGGAAAATACTGTCACACAAAAATAACAGTGTTATTTTGGGTACTTAAATTGCTTGCTTTGGCTGGAAATGCCATTCTATTCTTGATTTTTAATTATAGTAAAGCAAAATTTGTGATTGCTTTTTTCCTTTGAGAAATACGGTATGAAAGAACTGCTGTTTCTTGTAAGTCTATAGTTGTGAGAAGTCTCACTGGTTCCATGTACTTCAGCCAGCCTGCCTCAGGAGCATACACTAATACCGAGCCCTGTTGTAGACAGCCCTTGGTGCTGGATGATGTGTCTTACCCTTTATTCTTGCCCAATTCCTGTTAACTCAGAAGCTCTAAAGAATTTGTTCTGTGAAACATAGCCATATTCTTGGTAAAAATATAAGCATGCTTATATTTCCATGGAAATGGAATTGAGAGATATTTATTTTGGTACAAAAAATTTGAAATGCATTAATAAATTTTTCATGACTATTTTGAAGGTTCCCATATATGTAGGCTTCAGAAACTTTTGTACCAAGATAAACTTACCTTTTAATTTTCCACAAACTGTTTGAAGTTCCCTCATTTGTTCATATGTCGAGGGACACTTGTATTGTGATAATTAGTGTCAGACCAAAATAAAAGATTCCAAAGGTATTTCATTTGAATATCAGATCCGCTGACGATGTACTTCTGATCAATGTGTGTGTGTGTGTTTATGTTTATTTTAAGAGGAAGGCATTTCAAATAGCGCTGTCATGGGAAAATATTTCGTCAAGACAGTTTACTAACGTTGCTGTCTCAAGTCCCTCTTTCTGCACTCTCCTCCTGCGCTGAGAGTAGTTCTGCCACTACCAGGGCCCTGGACGTCTCTGGGCCTTCTCTCGTTTGTCCTTGAAGGTTATGTGGTTCCTGAGTTCTGGAACTGGATTTTCAGTAAACATAAGGGACTCAACACCAAATTAGTAGAGGTTGTAAGTAGCTGGTTATTATAGACCTTTCTATATGTATGTTGCCAATAGATTTATTGTAATTCTTTGAGTGAAAAATGTAGGAAGCCTTCTAGAGGATGTGGGACTCTAATAGGTTTGATGCCATTTGGACAGAAAAGTCACAGGGAATAGCGTGAGCAGAGACACTGAGTTGCAAAGAAAAGCACTTAAGTCTTTGGTATGAGGCTGGGATAGTGGCTCAACAGACTAATTCACCTTGCAGCACCAGCATCTCATAGCCCTGGGTTCTAGTCCCAACTGCTCCAGTTCCCATACAGCTCCCTGCTTATGTCCTGAGAAAGCAGTAGAGAATGGTTCAAGTGCTTGGGATCCTGCACCAACGTGGGAGAACCAAAAGAATCACTGGTTCCTGGCTTCAGATCAGCTGAGCTCTAGCCATTGTGGCCATTTCAATAGTGAACCAATAAATGGAAGAAAAGATAAATAAAATAGGAAAACAATTAAGTCACTAGTAGATCCATTTCACAGGCATTTAAAAATTTTTAATTATTTTTAAATGTGTATTACATGGGTGAGGGTATTGCAGATTCATGCAGGTCTCTGGATGGTAGGGGAATGAAAAGACCCCGACCTCTCTCCTGGCGGTGTGGTGGGGGGTAGGAGGTGAAGGGAGATGTGCCAGATCACATCAGCACCAGGGGACAGAGATGGTCCCCTGATTCTTACTTGGGACCCGAAAGAGGGAGAATGTCCAGAGGGTTTTACTTAAGTAGTCTTAATTTTTCTGAGCTGGTGTTGGCTTTGTTGCATCAAGTTTAAGATACTGCTTCCCATACTTACTGGCTGTCTTTGTCTGCTTCGGTCTGTCTGGAGAATTTGGCCTTTAGTATTCTTTGTGACCAAAGCATACAGCATATCTTAGGTATTCTGAAATGAATTTTTATGTAGGGAGAGGCAAGAGAGGAGGGCAGGATGATGGTCTTTATTAGTAGTAACCTGTCCCTGTATTTGACTGAATTTTTGATTACCATAGGAGAACTATTACTAGAGGTATACTCCGGGCTCCACTGTCAGAAGCTTTATTATAACTTATTAATTAAAAATAAAAATAATTCTGATGAATGTTCCCTTTACCTTTCTTCCTGATGCTTCCTCTGAAGTCTCCTTCCAAATGGTTTTGGAAACTGGTTCCAGTAAGTTTGCCCAGTTACTTCCATTTCCTCTCTATAATTGTCATTGTGGAATGATATTGTTTATGTTGTGGTGATACAGTCATTTCATATACTTCTTTTAGTAACTGGCTGTAGGTTTGAGTTTTATAATGTAACCTAAATGATAAAAGTATCAGGCAAAAATTTGGATCAGAAGTTTCAAAAAGTAAGCATCTTTTTGCTAATCTTGTCATCAATAGGTTAAAAACTTTATGTGTGTATACTCATTAATTTTAGTAAAATGGACTAATTGCATGTATATTTCCATATTTTAAAATAACTTTTTGGATAGAATAATTTTCTGTTTATAGGGATGATATCCCAAAGAAATCAACAATTGGCAAATAATTAACTTGTTTTTAAAAAGGAATAAAGTCTGAGTAGGAAGTCCCGGTGTTGACTATGGTAGTTAAAGCACTGCAACTCATTCCAAAGTACTTGGTTTGAGACCTGGTTCCACTTAACATTTCAAGCCTCTTGTGTCCTTAGCACCCAAGTAGGAGACCAAGGTTGAGTTCCTGGTTCCTAGCCCCGACCTGACCCTGTCTCAAATGTTGTGGGCATTTAAAGAGCGAACCAGCAGATAGAAGACCTCTCTCTCCACCTCTATTTCTTCCTCCCTTCCCTCTGTCTCTCCTTTTTTCCCTCCCCTCCCTATATCCCCCACACAAAGATCTTGCAAATTTTGCAAATAAATAAAAAGAAAAAATAAAATTTAAAAGGACATGAAGCTCACAGTGGCAGATCATTGACATCAATTTGTAAGGAAAAGCAAAATCTCAACGTCTTAAGTGAAGAGGACCAGCAATTAACAGCAGAAACAGTAGCCAATGCTATATGCATCTCAGTTCGTTTTACACAATTCTAACTGAAAAGTTGTACAAGTTTTTTGCTCAGTGGAAACCAAAACACTTCTTCCTAGATCACCTGCAGATAAGCAAACCTTTTGGTGGAAATTTTAAACAGATAGAGTCAAGATCTTGAAGTTTTTCTTCAAAGAATTGTAGAGGGTGAATAAAGCACAATCAGCAATGGCTACCAAGGATATGACAGAAGTTTTGGGGGGTACTCAAGGACTTTCACCTGTTGGCTTCCTGGAAGGCCAGGAACAAGAACATTGTCACGCTTATTAGGAGATTGTTCTGGAATCCCTTTCCACTGCAACAGTACATCTGTTCATTCCTCTCATCAAACAGAGGCAATTTTGCTTCCTACAAATTCTTTAAAGGCATTCATTTTTCTTAAGTTAATAACATAAACATAATAGTATTGGTATAAATCCCAGGACCCTCTCAGTTCCTTAGAGATGAATGGATGAAAAGACTAGAATAATTTCCTGGAAAAGTTTCTTGAAGTTGATGAAGCTTATTTTGAAAATAAAGTTTATAGTTTTTATTCTTTAAATAAATAAATATATATATATGTATATATATGTATATGTATGTATTTTGAGGGAGAGTAAGCAGAGACAGGCAGTTCCCCTCTGCTGTTTACTCTCCTGGTTGTCCGTGACAGTCCTAAGCAGGAGGCCAAGGCCAGAAGGTGGCACCTCAGTGCAAGTTTCCCACGTGGTTGGCAGGGACCCATAACCTGCCCACTCCTAGGATGAGCATTAGCTGGAACCTGGAAGTGGCTGCTGGCATCCCAGCTGACCTCAGCCACTAGGTCCAACAGCAACTTTTGGAGTCCCCTTGTTACATCTTATAGGATATAATCTGAGGAAAATGACTCTGTGTACCATTAATAATTCTGATTGTCTAGTCCAAAACACTAGATGCATTGAGTAAGATATGATGTGTGTGTGCGCACACTTTGTCCAGAAGTGCTACTTAGCAGAAAGGAATAGAAAAAGCACACAATTCAGTTCCTTTTTCCATGACCCTGTGTTCTTTGCTCAGTCTAGTTTGAATACTAAGCTGAGAACTAGGCCTAGAGAGTATCTGAAGCTCGGGATGGAATCAAAACCCATCTAGAGCGTATGTAAGGGGCAGACTATTTTGATTCTAGATGATCAAAGAAAAACACATGAGGATCTGAGAAGTACTTAATCAAATGTGAGAAAGGATCGTTTACGGCTAGATGATGCTACAGGTTCATTCCTTTTTTTGTTTCCCTCCTTTCCAGATTTGATTTTTTTTTAAGTGTCTCCTAGCAGCAAATTGAGAAAAATTTCTAAGGCTTATGTAAAAATTAACATTCAACTAAAGAATCTTTATAGTACATGTACTTTTCCTTCTGAAGACTGGTGCTATTTGGATTAGGATCGTGCAGTGAAGTACAAAGACCAAGCCTGCACTGATTTTTAATAACAATAAGCTCCTCAAGTTTTCCAAAGGGAAATGTGTTCCATTGTTCCATGGATCTTGTCCTTGAGTAGCCGTAAAAGAGAAGCAGGAATGAATGCCATTCTTTGTTAATATGTGTGCTTTTCCAAGGGATATCTTTTTAAAGAAATGTAATTTTTCACCAAATATTCTTTCATTAAATTCTGATATTTCTGTTTTCTCAGAAAAGTATCATATTTCAGAACCATAGTTTAATTTTAATATGATTGATTTAGGTAGAATTAGGAGAAAATTAACTTTCCATTGTGAAAAAAATCATCTAGATATCAGAAATCTGTGTAATAATACATTTTGCTAATAAAATATTATAGTAAGCACTTCACTGAATCTTCACTGCTTTTCTTGAATAGAGCATGCTAGCTAATAACATCTAACATTTATTGCTAATGACAGCTAGTTTTTATTGCTTACTTGCTGTGTGTTCAGCAGTGTACATAGCACTCTGCACCATCATCTTTTTAAACCTCCTGTGTTTCTATAAACTAATATTATTCCCATTTTACATGCGGGGAAAATGAGAAATGAGAGTTTAAGACACTTTTCCAAATCACACATGTGGTGTCAGGAACAGGGTTCAAGCTCAGGCAACCTGACAAAAGAGGTTTTCTCTTAATCGCTGTTACAGCATATTTTCTTTTGAAAATTATCTTAAAATATTATGTTTAGCAACACTAAGCCACCTTAAGAAAACAAAGTTCTACTATTTAACTGATGGAGAGCAGAAATCCACTGTTATTTGTTAATGACACTTGATTTTTGGGGGAGGGGTATTCTAGCTGCCCCTTGGTTTTGGTAACTTTTGTCTTTCTAATTAGATACTTTTATTCTTTCAATGCGGGTAGTAGTTTAAGTCTAATATAAAGGGAATGTGTTTTATTATCACAAATGAACAGAACTGCCAATTTAGATAACAAGTGTTCAAAATGTTTAATAATGCATTTTTATATATATGCTTAAATGTCATTTGAATTAACAATATTATAGCACCATAATTCTGTGTTGTTTAGCTTTGAAATTATAATGATGTTGCTGTTTATATATCTTTGGTAGTATCATTGTTTAGAAAAGAAATATTGGTAAAAGATTCTGTTTTCTCAATTTATATAGTATTGCTGATGCCATAAGATCTACTACAACACTGGTTTTTTTTTTCCTGTTTGATTCTTAGTACTTTTTTTTTTTTAATTGTAGGCTCGTTATAGAAAAGAGCAAACGTTGCTTAAACAACTGCCTTGCATTCCATTGGTAGAAAACTTGCTGAAGGATGGCACGGATGGCTGTGCACTGGCCGCCCTGATTCATTTTTACTGCCCTGGTGTTGTGAGGTTAGAGGGTAAGTGTTAGAGAGAAATCCTTCTGAACTATAGATGGATGTTAACAAATATTTGAGACAATAGTATTTAGTAAGTCCTAATGGATATTTCAAGAGGAACATTTGTGTATAATTCTGAGGAAAATAATTGAGAAAAGGAAATCTTTGTCTAGAATGATCACTGCAGATCATTGTTTATTAAATAGATTCTATATAATTGTGTATTCATACTGTGTAACTAGCTATGAAATGTTTTCTGACCAATTAAAGTCATCACCTTGTTCTTTTTATTTTTGAAGATATTTGTTTGAAAGAAACTATGTCTTTGGCTGATAGCCTGTATAACCTACAGCTGATTCAGGAATTTTGTCAGGAATACTTGAACCAGTGTTGCCACTTCACCCTGGAAGATATGCTCTACGCTGCTTCATCCATAAAGGTAAAGTGAATTACTGTGCTTTCCCTTGGCTTTGTACAAAATTGCTTTTAAGAAAGCATAAAGTAGGAATCATAAATGGTCCAGCTACGTTAAGCTTTTTGTGTGGGGGTTTTTTGTTTTTGTTTTTGTTTTTGTTTTTTGGCTTCTTCTGTCTTTAATTACATCGTTGGCCCTCTTGTAAGGTCCTTTTACAGTGTAGAACCACACAGCATCATGTGCAAAAATGATCATGTTGCGGAATAGAGGATAAGACACTTATGCCTCTTGGTCATAGGCAAGGCTAACAAATAGGTTCGTTCTTTATAAATAATCCCTCTTTTTCTTGAGGAGTTTATTTTATCTTTAGCTATCATTACTTTAGTATAGAGAGTACACATTTTCATGTGTATACTGAATCAGCATATTATTTTTAAAAAAGATTTATTCATTTTTATTTGAAAGATAGCCTTACAGATAGAGAAAAAGATCTTCCATCCACTGGTTCACTCTCCAAGTGGCCGTAACACCCAGAGCTGAGCTGATCTAAACCAGGAAACTGGAGCTTCTTCCAGCTCTCCCTTGCAGGGTGCAAGGTCCCAAAGCTTTGGATTGTCCTCTACTCCTTTCCCAGGCCACAGACAAGGAGCTGGATGGGAAGTGGAGCAGCCAGAACAGGAACCTTTGCCCATATGAGATCCCAGTGCTTACAGGAGGAAGATTAGAAATTGAGCCATTTCCCCAGAACCAAAATTCTTTAGTTATCAGTTTATTTGGAATTTATCATCTTCATTGTTGGTTAGTGTTTAGCTGTTGGTCAGTGTTTGCTTTCAGATTGTGAAAAAGAATGAAAATTTCACATAGTATCATTTTGTTACAAATAAGTGGAATGCATTTTATTTATATTGATGTTAAATGTTAAAAGTAATAACCATGAATAAATTTTTGAAAATTGCATTCCATTTTTGAAAGTTAAGGTGTATAATTTTTAATTTTTTAAATTATATTTTTCATATTCTTTACATAATTGAGAGAGATGCCTGTCAAAGTGGGTCTCTGATTAGGGTAGGGTGGTGTGCAGGAAGGTGAGTTGGATAAATGTTTCAGTTGTGTTTTCTTTTTCTTCTGTATCTGCCAGGTTGGGGAGGCGGGGTTTAGTGAAGGAGAAAAGGTCATCTTTTCACCAAGCTACATCAGCACCTGGAGATGGGGGACAGTCATTTGATGACATGTTAGAAACCCAATGTGGGGATGAGTGCTCTGAGGGTGTTACTTCAGTGGTTTTGATAGTTCTGAGAAATTGTTGGTTTCCTTGCTCCAGGATTGAGAAAAATCTTTTCAAGATCTATTGGTTGACAAAGTCCACGTTAGTGCACCCACAGACCACAGACCCAGGAACATGCTGCAAAGCTTGGTTAGGAGAATTGTTCAACCTGTTCCACTTTCCATTCTCTGATGTGGCACTTGACATCCTCTACTGTTCTACATGAGCTGGCTACCATGTCTTCTGTGTACATTTGCATATTTGTACATATTTTGTACATTTGTACATATGCTCTCTACTGCAACGGCAACTGATTAGGCCAAGTCCAAACATGTGAACTCCAAAGTCAGACCACATATCTTGTGATACTTTTCCCCTATATCCATGATTTGAGTCTAGCAGACTAGTTGAAGATTCCCCCAAGAAACCTCATCTGGGATGACCTCAGACCTGACTCTTGTGTTGCTGACCAGTGCAGAGTCTGGTTCCATCCATCACCTGTACCCGCAAATGCACTTAGCAGTGGATACAGCTGCCTAGTCATTTCCATCCCTACCCTTGCCTCTTTTTTTTTTTTTTAAGATTTATTTTATTTTTATTGGAAAGTCAGATATACAGAGAGGAAGAGAGATAGAGAGAAAGATCTTATTTCAATCCCTACTCCTATCTCTTACACAGACCAATGGGCACTATGGCATAACCCAAGCCAGCCCACCACAGACCCAGCCTTTATCACCTAGCAGGTACTACAGCCTAGTTAGGGTGTCCCTTAAGAATTACCACCAGTCCCACCCCCAGCTGCAGTTGCATGTGTCAGCATATGCTGCAGTGTAACCCAGCCTAGCTGGCATCCCATTTGGCTCTCAAATACATGCATGGATACAATGGCTGAACTAAGCCCCTCCTACCCCCAAACTCAATGTGCATGTATGCCAGTGGATGCTGCCACTTTGTCTATCCTGGTCTGCCCCTAGCCCTGGCTCTCATGCTCACCAGCAGGAACTGCAGCCTGCCAAGAGAGTGCCCACTATTCCCCTACTGGACCCACCCCCAGCCCCAGATCTTGCACTTGTCAGGGTACTATAGTGCAGCCTAACATGATTTGTGCCCAGTCCTGGCACTTTCCAGCAGCTACATCAGCCTAGCCTGGCCCAGTTCTGCCCTAGATTCAGTGCAAATGCAGGCTGACAGGTTTTGCAGTCTTACCAGGCCTAGCCTGCCCTCAGTCCCAGCTCTAATGCTTACCAATGGAAGCAGCAGCCCAGCAGGGGAGTCCCCAAGCTTTCCTACTAGGCCTCTTCCTTAAGAATATCACACACAGGCAGAAAGAGCAATCTAAGCGGTGCTCGGGCTGCTTGCATTTCCTGAATGCAGAGTGTTCTAAGGAGATAGCCTTAAGGTAAATGTCATGGTAAACACCCGTAACCTTTAGGAAGCTACCAATAATAAATCATCTGGTCAGAAATCTAAAAAAAAAAAAGAATATCACACACAGTAAAGAAAAATTAAAAGAATATGCCTCTTCCAAACTGTGTAATGGAGACTGTCATATCCAGATGTGAGGATACAATGCTGTATGCATCTCTGCTTCCAGACAAAGATGGACTCCCAATGAAACTGTTTATTATATCTTGACAATAGGAAGCTGGACTCTCTGCCATTGTCCATGCCGCAATGATGGACATAGGACTGTTTATGAAGGACTATAGTATAGTAATAATATAGGGAAACTCAGTGAAGGGAGAGGAAATTGGGGAGGGGGTGTGGGAAATCCCAGGGCCTATGGAACTGTATCATAAAGTGATAATAATAATAATGGCTATGAAATCAAAATAAAATCAATCTAAGCAAAAAAAAAAAAAAAGACAATCACACACTGGTGTTAGCGTTAGGACACTGCTGGCTTTGAAGAATTTTGACGAAATATTTGAATACCTACTGGTGTTCTAAATGGTTGGGGTAAACCAGTGAACAAAACTCACTGTCTCGTGGCAAAGACAGATACATTTCAGGCATCTGTACTTCAGAACTGCAAGTTAAAAAGCAGCTTCTTGGGTCCGGCCTGGTGGCACAGTGGTTAAGGTCCTCGCCTTGCACACCCGGGATCCCATATGGAAGCCGGTTCTATCCCGGCAGCCCCGCTTCCCTTCCAGCTCCCTGCCTGTGGCCCGGGAAAGCAGTTGAGGACGGCCCAAAGCTTTGGGACCCTGCACCCGTGTGGCAGACCCGGAAGAGGCTCCTGGCTTTGGATCGGCATAGTTTTGGCTGTTGCGCTCACTTGGGGAGTGAATCATTGGACGGAAGATCTTCCTCTTTGTCTCTCCTCTCTGTGTATCCGCCTTTCCAATAAAAAAATAATAATAAAAATAAATCAAAAAAAAAAAAAGCAGCTTCTTGGGCCTGGTGCAATAGTGTAGCAGCTAAAGTCCTCACCTTGAATGTGCTGGGATTCCATATGGTGCCGATCAGCCCCGCTTCCCATCCAGCTCCTTGCCTGTGACCTAGGAAAGCAGTTGAGGACAGCCCAAAGCCTTGGGATCCTGCACCCATGTGGGAGACCTGGAAGAGCTCCTGGCTTCTGGCTTCAGACTGGCTCAGGTCCGGCCATTGTGGCCACTTGGGGAGTGAGCCATTGCTTGGAAGATCTTCCTCTCTTGTCTTTCCTCTCTGTATATCTGCTTTTTCCAATAAAAATAAAATACTTAAATTTTTTTTTTTAATAAAAGCTCAGCAAAAAGGAAGAAAGAAAGAAAAGAAAGAAAGAAAGAAAGAAAGCAGCTTTTTAAAACAATATTATTTTTTATTGATTACATTGCATTATGTGACACTGTGACACTGTCTCATAGGCTCTGGGATTCCCCCAACCCCTCCTCATACCCTCCCCCCATGGTGGATTCCTCCACCTTATTGCAGTATTACAGTTCAAGTTCAGTTAACATTCTTTCATTGCAAACATAGAGTCCAGCATCTTATTGTCCAGGTAAATTCAATGGTTTCTTGGGAGACCATCTCTGGTCTGAAGATAGAGCTGGCAGAATATCATTCCGATCAATTAAAAGCCCCAACACAAAATCAACAGCACTTTACAGCATTATGGAATTAATCGACATGGTATTGAGTGACCAATATGTTAAAAAAATGGAAGTTCTTAACCACATCCTGTGACTACTTCACTGACATTTCAATTTTAGTTTATACACAGAACCAGCTGTTATACACCTTAAAATGGCTATAGGGTACTATTCAGCTGTCTCGTGTCTATTTTCATTTCAGAATTTCGCAGTTTATAGTGTTGAAGCATAATTTTGCTGAACTTGGCAGATTTTGGAATAATCTAAACTGGCTTATAACTTAACAAGGCATATGTCAACAGTTGTAGTGCAGAACAGTTTTAGGAGGGGTGTGCAGTGATATCTTCAATACCTTAGTGAGGACCTTTGTGTCCTACCTAGTAAGGCATGTGTGAGTCCATGCTGACCGTTTTCTGTCTGGTTCCAAGCTTGTTGTTCTCTATCTATTCCAGTTTGTGTGTGTGCGTGCGTGCGTGGGTGTGTGTGTTTTGGGGTGGGAGGCTCTGGAGCGACCCTGATGGTCATTGTAAGATAGGGTGGGGATCCAAAGTTGGAACTAAGTGAGGACCAGAGAAAGCTCTCTCCCTAGTCCTGAAGGAAGCTTACTGTTCCGATGACCTTGGATCCTGCAAGGAAGGGTTTGGGCTTCTTCCATCCCATGTGGTAGATCCAAACGGGGGTGGATGGCCTCAGAGTTCTTGGCCTCCAAAGGCATTCCAGTTCCCCATGGTCAAAAAGCAGCTTCTTGATTCAAATATCATGTTGTTAAGGGCCCTCAACTGTAAAGTTACTTGATGTCTCTTAACATACCTGCCAAGTTTGCCACTTCTGTTTCAAGGTCTTGGAAATGAATAGTCTTACAGCAGATTCTATTCAAAAGTTCAGCTGAGAGGAGTGACTCCATACCCTTCTTAAATCATACTTGCAAAGCCAACTTTGCTAGAAACTCTTGATGGATCCCTGGCAAAAAGGCGCCAGGGCCTTGTGCTTTAAGTTCATTCTTTTTCCTTTACCGGTTCTGGAACCTGGAGGGTAGATGATAGGGCCAGTGGTAAAGGAGTGTGTGCAACGTGAGCCATTGCTCCTTTGAGACAAACTGTGTCTGCAGTCTGCTATCTGACACATCTAATGAAACAGTTTGATTCATGTTGAAGATTCACATCTTGCCCTTTTTATCAAAATGGAAGTTAGGAAATCTTATTTGCATGTATTTCTTATTAGTACTTTTCTGGTACCTGCCTGTGAAATTTAAATACTACTTTTGTAATTTCAAAGGAAAAAAGATTGTCTCACTAATACACATACATTGAGACATAAGATTACATTCAAGTTCATATACCTTGAACTTTCAGTAAGTAATATACAGTCTGCTGATACAAAGATATTTTGTTTAAGATAGATCATTGCCTACAGAAAAGACCTTGGTCACATTCTGTGTTTGTGACCAAATTATTAGACCCAAAGTTGGACTTCAGGGAATAGTTTAAAGTCTTGGAAAATTTGCTAGGTCTGTGGTAACTGGCATCTTCACTTTAGCCATCACACTGGGCCCCAAATGCTTGTTATTAAATGGCTAATTCTTCACCTTGGATTTGCTGAGATCCCATGTGGGCGCCAGTTCATGTCCCGGCTGTTCCACTTCCCATCCAGCTGCCTGCTTGTGACCTGGGAAAGCAGGTGAGGACAGCCCACAGCCTTGGGACCCCAAACCCGCGTGAGAGACCTGGAAGAGGCTCCTTGCTCCTGACTTTGGATTGGTGCAGCTACAGCCATTGCAGCCAGTTGGGGAGTGAAGATCTATCTCCTTCTTTCTGTTAAATCTACCTTTCCAATCAAAAGAAATAAATCTTAATATATATGTATATATTATATAGAAGTTATTTAGAGGCAGTTTGAATTATCTAACCAAGTTTTAAATCCATAGAAGGCATGTATAACAATTATTCTTAGTGGTGAAAAGTTGGAAACAGTATATCTTAATAAGGACAGAATTTACATGTTTTGCAATATAGTTACTTAAAGGGAAAAAGGTAGAGGTTTTTTTAATTGACATGAAAAGCTGTCCAAGGCATTGTTAGATGAAGAAATGGCAAGTAAGAAATAAGTAGCATGATATGATTTATGTGTTTATTCCCTAAATAATATAATAGCTACTCACATAGCAATCACATTGTATTAGATATTACAAATGAATGAGGATGTGTGTGTGTGTGTGTGTTATATGCAAATCTCATACCAATTTGTATCAGGGACTTAAGCATTTACAGATTTTTGAACCCATAATTGTCCTGTATACAAAACTTACCCCAAGTTGATACCAAAAGATAAAGTAAGGAGCTAGAAACTCCATCCAGCTCTCTCACATGGATGGCAGGGGCCCTAGGCTGTGGCCATCATCTGCTGTCCTCCCAGATGCGTTAGCAGTGAGCTGGATAGAACGTGAAGTAGCTTGGACTTGAACCAGCATGCTCTTGACTAGGGGTACAGGTATCACAAGCAGCAGTTTAACCGCTGCACCGCAGTGCAGCCTGGCAGTGTTTCAAAGAAAAGAAGCCAGAAATATCAAATGCTGCTGACACTCAAGTAAAATGACTCGATTTCATGACATTAGTAAGTCATTGGTGACTTGAGTAAATGTTGTTTGAGAGCAATGATATGGCTCAGGACCAAGCTGGAATGAATTGGGAAATTAGAAGGAACGAAGTGGAGAATGTTAATGTGGGCCTGCTCTTAGAAAAGCTTGTAAAGGAGCAGTGTGTCATGCAGTTAAGATGTGTCTTAGACACCCACTGAACATTATCCCGTAGAACATTCCAGATTCTTACATTAAACCATCTGTATGACAAGACTACTTCAGTGTCTAATGAACACCTCAAAGAGAATCATCTCAGACTAGCAGTGTAGCATAGGTGATAAAGTTGCTGCCTGCCACGTCAGCTAGTCCAGCCCAGCTCTGCGGACGGCCTGGAGAAGCAGCAGAGGAGGGCCCCGCACCCACGTGGCAGACCCAGAACAAACTCCTGCCTCCCAGCTTCACACAGGCCCAACACTGGCTGTTGTCACTATTTGGGGAAGTGAACCAACGGCTGGGGTCTGTGTGTGTGTGTGTGTGTGTATCGTTTAAGTAAATAAATTCTAAATAAATTTTTAAATCACAAAATATTAATAAATTTAGCATTTTTGCATTAGATGCAGAATATTCAATTTAAAAGGTATATTTAAAATAATTGCGCAAACAAATTTTGGAGAATGTTTTTTGCCATTAATATGAAGTAATTATTTATAATAAGTAATTCTTCATATTTTAAAATATAAGCTCATTGTACAAAAGTGCTTTATAAATAATTAAAACTTGGTGGTTTACTCATATTAACAACTTTCAAAGTTAGGAATTAGCTGTTGCACTCCAGAGAGTGCAATTATTTATAGTGCTCTGATTATTGTTGAGTTTAGCATTATTAAGAATGTAGATAGATTATTTTTTTAAGATTTATTTTACTTTTATTTCAAAGGCAGAGTTACAGAGAGGAAGAGATAAAGAAATCTGCAGCCCACTGGTTCACATCCCAAATGGCCACAATGGCCTGAGCTGAGCTGCGCTGAAACCAGGAGCCAGAAGCCTCTTCAGTTCTCTCATGTGGGTGCAGAGTCCCAAGGACTTGAGCCATCCTTTACTGCTTCCCCAAGCATAAGCATGAAGCTGATGGGAAGTGAACAGCTGGGATACTAGCCAGCTCCTATATGAGATGTCAGCACCACAGGCAGAGGCTTAGCTGCCATAATACCAGCCCTGGACAGGGTATTTTAAACCATACATGTCATTATTTAAAAAAAAAAAATTCTAAGCATCTGAATAGAGTTTGATTTTCCTTTTAAAGATAATCAGACTTCAGGATATCCAGACATTGGAGAGTTGTTCAAGTCATATTTAATTTGAAAAAAAAAAAAGTCATATATTCTCTCAAAGTTCTATGCAACCAGAGGCATTAATACTTGTTTAACAAATTAGATCACTATTCTGGCACTAGAAAGCAGAGTAGCAAGCAAGATTTGAATCTTTGCTGTCATTTTTACACACAAGAGCCAGGATTGCTTTTTTCTTTTTATTTATTTATTTTTATTAGAAAGGCATTTTATGGAGGGAAGGAGAGACAGGATGATCTTCCATCCGCTGGTTCACTCCCCCAAAAGACCACAGTGGCCAGAACTGAGCCAGTCTGAAGCCTGGAGCCAGGAGCTTCTTCTGGATCTCCCATGTGGGTACAGGGTCCCAAGGCTTTGAGCCACCTCTACTATTTCCCAGACCATAGGCAGGGAGCTGGATGGGAAGTGGAGCAGAAAGGAAACAAACCAGTGCCCATATGGGATCCTGGCACTGCAGGTGAGGTTTTAGTCATTGAGCCAGTGCATCAGGCTCAAGATAGATCAAAGAATCGATCCCAAATTTAATAGCCTGTATAAATTTACTCCAATGATAAAGGAATAAGATTTAAATATGTATTTCAGTAACAAACAAAATTCTATATATGTTTATAGTCAATTTTTACCTGATCTCTCTTTCTCACCTAGAGTAATTATCTGGTGTTCATGGCAGAACTCTTTTGGTGGTTTGAAGTTGTGAAGCCATCGTTTGTACAGCCTCGTGTTATTCATTCACAAGGAGGTAATTAATCCTTTAATTTTACATGTGAAGAAGTGGAAGTTTATGTAACCCATCTGGTTACTGTTTTAAAAGAAGAATGCCTATTATTGTTTCTGATTTTGGTTGTTTTGCTTGACAGATTCTGAATATTTTGTATTTAAAACCACTAAATTCTTGATAAGGGGATAATTAGATGGTCAAGAAATAAGAAAAAGAAAATGATAACAATGAGTCTGAATTTGAAATCTTACAGAGAGGAAAATTCAGCTTTTAACTATCAGCCCATTTTATCTTTAAGGTTTATTCATTTTTATTGGAAAGGAATATTTACAGAGAAAAGGAGAGACAGAGAGATCTTTTATCCACTGGTTCACTCCCCAAGTGAGTACAACGGCCACAGCTGAGCCAGTCGGAAGCCAGGAGTCAGGAGCTTCTTTCTGGTCTCCCACGCAGGTGCAGGATCCCAAGGTTCTGGGCCGTCCTCAACTGCTTTCCCAGGCCACAAACAGGGAGCTGGATGGGAAGTGGAGCAGCCAGGAGATGAACCAGCACCCATATGGGATCCCGGCGCTTGCAAGGCAAGGACTTCAGCAACTAGGCTACAGTGCCGGGCCCAACCTGTTTTCATCTCTTTGTACCTTTTACCCTTCTCCCAGCTTGTTTCCCTACTAAATTCTTATGTTGTATTACAAATAATCCACTCAGATATTGGCTTGGCCACATTTGAATTTGGTATTAAGTCATAAAAAGGCTTGTTACATGTATTTTTAAACCTAGAGTGAACTATAGTTAAAACCAGAGTGAACTAGAATTATTTTTTAATCTTAGGGGGGAAAAAAAGCGAATTGAGCCTTCTCCCCAGGGTTACTTACAAAAATGTAAACTTGGGCACACAGCAGGCTCATCCTCTGCCCTATGGCACAGGCATCCCATACAGGCACCGGTTCGTGTCCTGGCTGCATCACTTCCAATCTAGCTCTCTGCCCATGGCCTAGGAGAGCAGAGGAAAGCTCATGACCTTGGGGCCCTGTGCCTACATGGAAGAACCAAGACTCTGCTAGCTTGCAACTTTTTTTCTTTTTTTTATTGAAAAGGCGGATATACAGAGAGGAGAGACAGAGAGGAAGTTCTTCCATCCGATGATTCACTCCCCAAGTGAGCGCAACAGCCGATGCTATGCCGATCCAAAGCCAGGAGCCTCTTCCGGGTCTCCCACGTGGGTGCAGGGTCCCAAAGCTTTGGGCCGTCCTCGACTGCTTTCCCGGGCCACAAGCAGGGAGCTGGAAGGGAAGTGGGGCCGCCGGGATTAGAACCGGCACCCATATGGGATCCCGGGCGTGCAAGGCGAGGACCTTAACCACTGTGCCACCGCGCCGGGCCCTAGCTTGCAACTTTTAATCAGCTCAGCTCTGATCCTGGCAGCCCTTTAGCGAGTGAACCAGCAGGTGGAAGACCTCTCTCTGGTTCTTTTTCTCTGTAAAATAAATAAACCTTTTTTAAAAAAATATAAACACCCATAGAGTTAAATTTTATCCCTTGAAAGTATGTTTTTAATTGATTATTAAGAGACCAACCATTTTATAAAAAAACAAAAATGACCAACTTCATGTATCTGAGGTTCTATGAAAGCTTCCAAAAAATTAAACATTCAAACTGATTTTTAATCTTAAACAATGCATTCATTTTATGTTATGCCTTTCCCATCATTGGACTTAATAAGTAAAGTTTAAATCAAGATACTTTAGGAAGAGTGTAAAGAAAATTTGATCCTTTAAAATTATTGAATCTTTTAGAATTTCTACGCAATAAGAATACTAGAAATTACATTTTAAGTATTTATAGTCCAAAGTTACTGAAATGCTGTTAGAAACCTGCTAAGCCTGTGGCTTTGAGGTCTGTCCTTTCTTCCAGCTGAATCTGTGAAAGATCCTGCTTCAGCCCCTGCCCTGATCGCTGCCAGGAGAAATGCTTCAGATGGTTCGTGGAGTTCTCGCTTCACCTCAAGGTAGACGAAGAGGGGTTCATGTTCACAATTTCCTTTCTTCGTGCTAATGAAATCAAGTAACATTTTCAGTTAGATTTTGAATTTATTATTAGCTTATCCTATTATACTCTGTTTTAAATATAATTGAAATGTACACATAGGCTTATTTATGAACCATACTGAAGTGTGAATTATGAGAATATATTGTAAGGTTCAAGTAGCCAATTTATTGCATAAATACAACCAGCAAGCCAAAAATGCTTGCTACATAAGTATTTATAATTGAGAATTGCCCAATTTTAGTATATGTGCTGCCGAAGCGAGCACAAGAATTGCCCAATACTATGATTATCTAGCAGATAACTCTTAGACATCGGGAAATTAAATAACTCTTAGGCATCAGGGGAAATTTATTAATTATATTTGGATTATAAAATGTTTTGTGATTTTTAAAAAAATATTTGAAGCAGTTTTTCCTACTTTTCAGGTTACTAGAGCTACTGAGAGATCACAATAAAGTATTTATTGTATAGTAGTATTGAATCTCTGTCTGGTGCTTTAGTTCTTAATATCAGGAATTAAACCAAGCAAGAATATCTTGCCATTTATTATCAGGATAATGCTGGCTTCTGCTTCAGGTTTATGATAGGGACATTAGTTTGTTTAGAATTGTTTTTACCAGATCCTATAATTAGCTATTTGTTTGAATTTATTAGAACCTGAAATTTATGTTGACTTTGGCTCCTTAACCGTTTTGATTTTTTAAGTTTAAAATGGATATATTTTGAGGATTTTAAGAGAAATACTCTTACTTCCTTTGTGAGGCTTCTTACTTGGGTGAGTTTTCTAAAGTCTGTAATGAATTTTGTACTATTAGAGAGCCTTAGCTTACCCTCTGATTTTCTGCTATAACTGTTCTTACCTTCTGTTCAGCTTTCTGTGGTCCACAACTACCTCTAAGATTTAATTTAGAGAAGTTAAATTAAAATATTTCTCTCATAAGATCTTCTATATATTTTTTCCCCATGGGAAACATATTTCAACATACCATTTCTTCAGTGCTTTCCTAGGTTGGTTTATAGTAACATTTACTCCCTTGGAAATATATATTTTAATCACTCAGTATCACTCTTACACTATCTTTAGATTCTGGAAAGCAGATAATTCCATAATTACTATTTCTAGGAAGCTAAATGGACAAATTCACACACTTCTAACACTGGCAAATGTTTTCATTTAGGTCCCCTGGGAAGACTCATCTCTTTTCTTTCCGATATCTGAGTGGCTACTTTTTCCTAGCAGATGGCTAACCCAGATAGATGTCTAAATTCTTTTCCCTGAAGAGTTATTGTGCAGCCGTCATTCTAGGCTCCTAGTCAACCTCTCATTTCTGTAAGTCTCTATATGGCCCATTGTAGTTTTCAGCACTGTAGGGCTTTTGAGGAAGGACTCAACAATTTCTGCTCTTCCTTGGGATGATGTAGTACATTATCAAAGGAGAAAGAACAGAATCAGAGCAAGAAGGCAGGCGAGCAAGAGGCATTCCATCAGCTGCTCTGCACACCAACCCTTACTAAAGAGTTAGACCTGATCAAGATTTCTCTGCACAAATGAAAACACAGTTGACCCTTGGCAACATTTTGGCCATTAGTTGGGGAAGAAAAAAACAATAAACACATTTTAATAACTAATCCATTTGTATTCAGGATACCCTGCCAACATACACATAGATCTGAAGGAGAGTAGAAATTGGAAGTGATTTTAAAGGGAGGGATCCTAGAAACAAACACGTCAGGGCAGAGTGTGAGAGAAATATCTGACAGGCCTATCAAGTGATCACAAGTGAAATAGAAGGAGGCGTGTGCAGTTAAGCTGAGGGGGAAAGGCCCCACATGAGCATTTGCTTTGGACACAGCAAGTTCTACTCATATTATTGATTTTGGGAAAAGTTACAATGTAAGCTTTCAGTAAGCGGTAAGAACATAACGCTTGAATTCTTTGGTTGACTTGACCATCGTCTCGCTATATACCAACCAAGAGAAAATGATTTGAGCATACTGTGGAAGTCATTGTGTCTGTTTCGCGGTCTGTTCTGGACTAATTGGGAATTGAAATGCTTAATCCAGTGCTAAGAGGGACCTGGCAGACTTTAAGAAAGAAAAGCAAAAACAGCTTGATTCTGGACAAATGTCATTACAGTTTGAGTAGACTGTCTAATCCTCTACATTAATTGGAATGAGTAGAATCAAATAAGAATAACAGGAAAGCTTTATGTCTTTTTAGGCATCGAGGTCTAAAGCGCCAGCTCATTATTAAATGTAACTGTCAGAGATCACAACATAGGTCGGTGAGCAGGGAGGCTGTCAGAATCCTTGGTTTGCTATACCTGTGGTTTTAGTTTAGATTTGACCAAAGTGTTTCAAAGTGGTGAGTTTCACTTAATGTATTTTTTCTCATTTTTTTCTATTTATAAAATAGAAATAATATGCCATATCTTAACCTCACAAGGATATTGAGGTATATAATGAAAAGTGCTTCGGGTTGTATGTGCATGTAGATACCATTGTAATTGCAGCCCTTCTTTGGATTAAACAGTGTGTTGCTTTATTTTTGTCAGTTTAGCACATAGAACAGAGATAATAGTATTGCTTCTGATTTTAGCCATTCTGTATAAAGCTTACATTAATGAGCTAAAATACAGCATTGTCCATTGCAGTGGGGAAGGAGCTGCATATTCAGAGGCTCGTCATTTGCCTTCTAGGTACTCACGTCCCCAGGCTCATTCTTCAGCTTCAGGTAATATACCTTTAAAAGCCTAGAAAATGTTATTTGAGATCAGTTTACTAAGAATGAATATAAAAAACAAATATCCATTCTTTTCTCTGAAAAGTAATTGTAATATATGCACTCAGAGTCTGATCTGTATCTCTATGCTTGGTTATCTTTATAAAATGATCTCTACTTCTATATACCTATTTCTTTGATGCTATTAAGAAATCTTCAAATATGCAGAGTCTGTTAAGTTTATACAATTTCAATCACTTTTTCTTTTTTTTGCAATTAAAGGAGGGATTAGAAGGTCTTCATCTATGTCTTATGTTGATGGCTTCATAGGGACATGGCCCAAAGAGAAAAGGTAAAAGAAGCATTATTAATTGTATATTCCCATTATCAAGAAATGCTAGTTTTATTTCTGTGTCTTTTATTGTTAATCACATTTCTAAATGTAGACTTCTACTCAGTACCAAAATGCAACAAGGACAGGACAGGCAGATGCTGGGGGCCCCACAAGCACTGGTTTAAAGAGAGCTAACTAGCTGTGGCCTTCCCTCGAGGCAGCATGCTCAGGAGAGATGGGAAAAGGAGGGAAACATGAGGAATATTCAAAGGAAATAACTGTTCAAGTGTATTTTAAAAGTTGTTTCTTTTTTGAGATCGTTTAAACATTTTTTTTTTTTTAGATCATCAGTACATGGTGTTTCATTTGATATTTCTTTTGATAAAGAAGATAGTGTACGGAAATCTACTCCAAACCGAGGAATCACTCGTTCTATTAGTAATGAAGGACTTACTCTGAATAACAATCGCATGTCTAGACACATTAGGAAAAATTTGTCCTTCAAGCCGGTAAACGGAGAAGAGGAAACAGAAAGCATTGAGGAAGAACTTAACATAGGATCTCATGGTGATCTCAGGTCTTACATGCCCTTTAATACAAATGAGCTAAATTCTAATGAGAACATTCATTACAAGCTTCCAAATGAAGCTTTGCAAAACAGAATCCTTCTAGATGAGTTTGGCAATCAGATTGAGACACCAAGCATTGAAGAAGCATTACAGATAATTCATGATACTGAAAAATCTCCCCATACTCCTCAGCCAGACCAAATTGCTAATGGCTTCTTCCTTCATAGCCAGGAAATGAGTATCCTAAATTCAAATATGAAGCTAAATCAATCTAGTCCTGATAATATAACTGATACAAAAGGTGCCTTGAGTCCCGTAACTGACAATACTGAAGTAGACACTGGTATTCATGTTCCTTCAGAAGATATTCCTGAAACTATGGATGAAGATTCTTCTTTGAGAGACTATACTGTGAGCTTAGACTCTGATATGGATGATGCATCTAAATTTCTTCAGGATTATGACCTGCGAACCAGCAACCCCAGAGAAGCTTTGAGCCCTTGCCCAAGTACTGTCAGTACTAAGTCTCAACCAGGCAGCAGTGCTTCTTCGAGTTCTGGAGTTAAAATGACCAGTTTTGCAGAACAGAAGTTCAAGAAGCTGAACCACACTGATGGGAAAAGTAGTGGGAGCAGTTCTCAGAAAACAACACCAGAAGGCTCTGAACTTAATATTCCTCATGTTGTTGCTTGGGCACAAATTCCAGAAGAAACAGGTCTTCCCCAGGGCCGAGACACTACCCAGCTGTTGGCTTCTGAAATGGTCCATCTTCGGATGAAGCTAGAAGAAAAGAGACGTGCTATAGAAGCCCAGAAAAAGAAAATGGAAGCTGCTTTTACTAAGCAGAGGCAGAAAATGGGAAGGACAGCATTCCTTACTGTGGTGAAGAAGAAAGGGGATGGGATCACCCCTCTTCGAGAGGAAGCAGCGGGGGCAGAAGATGAGAAGGTCTACACGGACCAAGCCAAAGACAAGGAGTCTCAGAAACCACACGGGCAAAGGAGCAAGTCTCTGGCGGATCTGAAAGAAAGCATGGAGACCCCTCCGGCCAAGTGGCTGAAGTCTCCAACCACGCCTGTAGACCCCGAGAAACAATGGAACCTGGCAAGCCCCTCAGAGGAAAACCTAAATGAAGGAGAAATTTTAGAATATACAAAATCCATTGAAAAGTTAAATTCATCCCTGCATTTTCTACAACAAGAAATGCAGCGTTTGTCACTTCAACAGGAAATGTTGATGCAGATGAGAGAGCAACAATCCTGGGTAATTTCACCACCTCAGCCCTCTCCACAGAAACAGATTCGAGATTTTAAATCCTCTCGGCAGGCAGGCCTGTCGTCAGCCACAGCGCCATTCTCAGACTCCACTCGGCCTACTCATCCTTCACCTCAGTCATCCAACAGGAAAAGTGCATCTTTTTCTGTTAAAAATCAAAGGACTCCTAGGCCAAATGAATTAAAAATAACACCACTGAATCGAACCCTGACACCCCCACGATCTGTGGATAGTCTACCTCGATTGAGGAGGTTTTCACCAAGTCAGGTTCCAATTCAGACTAGATCATTTGTTTGTTTTGGAGATGATGGAGATCCTCAGCTAAAGGAATCCAAACCCAAAGAGGAAGTTAAGAAGGAGGAATTGGAGCCTAAAGGGACATCTGATCATCATGGACATAATTCAGAAGAAAAGGAAATCAAACCTCTGGAGTCAACGGTGTCTGAAGTCCTGTCTCAGCCTGTCACAGAGACTGTATGTCTGACCCCAAATCAGGACCAACTGAGTCAGCCCGTAGAACCCCCTCCTAAACCCATTTTTCCACCTACTGCTCCAAAAAATGTTAATCTGATTGAAGTTTCCCTCTCAGATTTGAAACCCCCAGAAAAGACTGATGTATCTGTTGAAAAATATGATGGAGAAAGTGATAAAGAACAGTTTGATGATGACCAGAAAGTATGCTGTGGATTCTTCTTTAAGGTAATATTAATGGGCTTAGCTTGGGACACCTTCATCAGGTGTGTGTGTGTGTGTGTGTTGCTTGACTTGATACTCTTAGTAGTGTTCTTTTTGTTTGTTACAAGTCTGCCATTAATCCTGAACTATGTTTTAACATACTCCCTGGTGGAGTATAGTAATGTTCAAGTACACTGTGACTTGTGACTTTTAGAGCAGTCTTCCAGTGTGGACTCAAAGGTATAATGAATTTTTTACATCACAGTCATGGGACATTTTTGGGTATGTTCCCTGTTTATTCCTCTACCTCTCTTTCTCATTTTCAATAAAAGCCTTTTATTTGAAACTCACAAGGATAGTTGACAGGGGTCATTAAAACCATTGCTACTTTTCTAAAATCTGAAGCACCCAGATTGACCTACAGATCATGAACTAGCTCTCAGATTCAAAGAAATTTAGGAATATGATTATACCCAATCTTCTCTTTAAAGGAAGAATTATCATCATATTGTAGAACCTATCAAATGTTACTGTGATTATCCCAACTTAAAAACATAACATGCAGCAGTAATAGTACTTATCTGCTGTGATGTTTGGTGACTGATGTGGGTGCTCTTTATCTTTATTGAGAGTAAATTTTCAATATAACTTAAATACAATTTTTTTTTAAATAAAGGGAAGTTTCAGGCCCCATGCGGTGGCCTAGAAGTCCTTGCCTTGAACACACCAGGATCCCATATGGTCACTGGTTCTAATTCCAGCAGCCCCGCTTCCCATCCAGCTCCCTGCTTATGACTGGGAAAACAGTCAAGGATGGCCCTTGGGACCCTGCACCCGCATGGGACACCTGGAGAAAATTTCTGGCTCCTGGTTTCAGATTGGTGCAGCACTGGCTGTTGTGGTCACTTGGGGAGTGAATCATCGGATGGAAGATCTTCCTCTCTGTCTTTCCTCCTCCCTGCATATCTGACTTTGCAATAAAATTAAATAAATCTTTTTTTAAAAATAAATAAAAATAAAGGGAAGTTCCCTGCTGTAAGTTGTCAACTAGGGTAAAAGAAAAACTTTGGTGTTTTTTAAGATGTGTTTATATTAAATTAGAGTTAAAGAGAGAATGAGACAAAGAGATCTTCCATCCACTGGTTCACTCCCTAATGGCCACAACAGCCTGAGCTAGGCCAAGCTAAAGCCAGGAGCCAGGAGCTCCATCTGGGTCTCCCATGTGACTGGCGGGGCCAAGTGCTTGAACCATCTTCAACTGCTTCCCCGGCTGTTAGCAGGGACTGGATCAGAGGTGGCACAGCCAGGACTTGAACTGTCACCCATCTGTATGAGGTACTGGCATCGCAAGCAGGGACTTTACTTGTTAAGCCGTAACACTAGCCCCAGTTTTGTTTTGTTTTTTTGGTTTTTTTATGGTTGTTAACTGTTCTTTGTCACTTGATAGAATCATTACCACTTTAATTCTATTTTTTTATAATTTCTGTAACATGTCAACAATGGGTAGCATTGTAGTAATTAAGATTTAGAGTTCTAACAGTAACCATAAAATGTGATTGCAACAATTAAGAATATTGGTGCCTAAATTGTTTCATCTTTTAATAAAATTTATTTTTAGGATGATCAAAAAGCGGAAAATGATATGGCAATGAAACGAGCAGCTTTGTTGGAGAAACGATTAAGAAGAGAGAAAGAAACTCAGCTTCGGAAGCAGCAGCTGGAAGCAGAGATGGAGCATAAGAAAGAGGAAACGAGGTGATAGCACTTGCTGAGCCCCGCTCGGCCTGGGGAGACGATGTGCTCAAACGTGCTCAAGGATGCAATGTCTTCTTTTAATGCAGTGGCTTTTATTAACAGATTTTTTTTTTCTTAGAAATGTTTATAAATAATTGGATCAATTCTGCTTTTGGTGCTTTTTAAAAGTTAGTTCGTTTTCCAAACATATGACCTAATTTTATATTTTTACCCTAAATCAAGTTGTCCAGAATCCTTTTTTCCTTTTCTTTTTTTTTTTTTTTAAGATGTTTTTATTTTTGTCTGAGAGGCAGATTTGTAGGAGAGCAAGAGACAAAAAGAAAAACATCTTTTATTCCTGGCTCACTCCCTAAAGAGCCACAATAGCTGGAGTTCAACCATCTGAAGTCAGGAGTCAGGGATTTCCTCCAGGTCTCCCACATGGGTGCAGGAACCCAAAGGCTTTGGGTCATCCCCTACTGCTTTGCCAGGGAGCAGGATCAAAAGTGGACCACTCAGAATCAAAATTCAAGCAGGTGCCCGTATGGGATCCTGGTGCTGCAAACCCCATCCTACCCCAACCCAGAAACATTCTTTAAGATGATTTTGGGGCCCAGCATGGTGGTCTAGTGGCTAAGGTTCTCGCCTTGAACGCCCGGGATCCCATGTGGACGCCGGTTCTAATCCCAGCAGTTCCTCTTCCCATCCAGCTCCCTGCTAGAGGTCTGGGAAGGCAGTCAAGGATGGCCCAAAGTTTTGGGACCCTGCACCCGCATGGGAGACCTGGAGGAGGTTCCTGGCTCCTGGCTCCTGGCTCCTGGCTCCTGGCTCCTGGCTCCTGGCTCCTGGCTCCTGGCTCCGGGTCGGCACAGCACCGGCCATTGTGGTCACTTGGGGAGTGAATCATTAGATGGAGGATCTTCCTCTCTGTCTCTCCTCCTCTCTGTATATCTGACTTTGTAATAAAAATAAACTTTTTTTCAAAAGATGATTTTGGTAGAAGGTACATACATGTAGTATGGTATGTTTGTATGGGTGATGTTGGTTATATAAAGTGCATTTTAAATGAACCATTTCCCACTCCCCACCCACTACATATTTTCCTTCATATTCTCTCCTTTTTTTAAGGTTTTATTATTTTGTTTGAAAGGCAGAGTACTTAGGAAGATAGAGATTTTTCCATCCACTGGTTCACTCTCTAAATGGCTACAACAGCCACAGTTGGCTGACCCAAAGGCAGGAGCTTCTTTTGGGTCACCCATGTGAATGCCAGGGCCCAAACGTGGGCAATGTTCTGCTGCTTTCTTGGGCACATTAGCAGGGAGCTAGATCAGAAGTGGAACAGCCAGAACTAGAGCCAGTGTGCATATGGGATACCGACACCACAGGCGGTGGTGTTTACTTGCTATGCCAAAGCATAGGCCCCTGAAGTAGTTATTTCTTCCTCCTCACATCAAATATACATCCTACTCTAGAGTCAGTTGTCTTTGGTTTGCAAAATTTATTTTGCTTTAGCATCCAACCATTCACTCTTTCAGGCGTAAAACCGAGGAAGAACGTCAGAAGAAAGAAGATGAGAAAGCACGTAGAGAATTTATTAGGCAAGAATATATGAGGAGAAAACAACTGAAACTAATGGAAGATATGGACACAGTCATTAAATCTCGCCCTCAAGGAACAAAACAGAAAAAACAGCGGCCAAAATCTATTCACAGAGATCACATTGAATCACCCAAAACACCAGTAAAAGGTCCTCCAGGTAACACCGTTCGTGGTGAGGAGTCTATTCATAGAGAAACACTAGCTTGGTTTGTCTCGATAACTTGATTGTGCTTTGATACACTGAAACAGATACACCATTTGACATTATGCATGCTGTTCATTTGGAAAACCAAAATGAACCAGATAAACTTTGGATGAACTAGATTTATTACGTGTGCATGCATATATTGAGTAAACAAACATGAATGCTCCTTAACATACAGATGGGACAGATGGGGAGAGGTGTCGATTCAGAGCTTGAGACACTCTCTTGGATGCCTGCACTCCCTATCCATAGTGTCTGGGTTCAAGGCCAGCTCTGTTTCTGATTCCTGGCTTCCACCTGGTCCAACCCTGTTGGTGCATTTAGGGAATGAACCACCCAACAGAAAATCGGTCTTTCTGTCTCCACCTCTTTGTCACTTCACCTTTCAAAGATAGTCTACAATCCAAACATAATTTTTGAAATATGTCTATTTTTTTAAATTCAACATACATATTCTTTTTAAAAGTAAATACTACAGAAAATTTTAGAGAATCCCTGTAGGTTTTTTTAAGATTGATTTGTTTTTATTGGGAAGTCAGATTTACAGAGAAGAGGAGAGACAGTAAGATCTTCCATCTGCTGGTTTACTCCCTAAGTGGCCACAATGGCCACACCTGAGCCAGTCTGGAGCCAGGAGCCTCCTCTGGGTCCCCTACATGAGTGCAGGGTCCGAAGGCTTTCGGCTGTCCTCTACTGCTTTCCCAGGCCACAAGCAGGGAGCTGGATGGGAAGTGGGCCATGTGGAATCCTGGCATGTGCAAGGCAAGGACTTTATTCCCTAGGCTACTGCGCCAGGCCCCTGTAGTTATTCTAGACCTGAAGTAAAGTAGCATTGCCAGCATGAGAACTCTTGTCCTTCCAGTTTGTGAAATTTCTAGATGATAATGTAGGATGTGGTTAAAGTTCATAAATTAATTTTCTATCTAGAAAATAAACATCCATAGGTATATTTTATTTTTGTCACTTTTTCTTTCCTTCCTGTAATAGTTTTTTATACCAGTTCTTTGATTTTGTAACACCAAGTCCATTTTATCATTGTTTCCTAAAATGGGTCCCTCGAGGGGCCAGCATGATAGAGTAACAGGCTAATCTGCCACTTTGGAACCAGCATCCCACATGGATGCCTGTTCATGTCCTAGCTGCTCCACTCTGCTTTGGCCTGGGAAAGTGCTGGAGGATGGCCCAAACTGACTCGAGCTCTGGCCATTGCTAGCCGTGTGGGAGTGATCCAGTGGATGGAAGACCTCTCTGTTTCTGTAACTGACCTTCCAAATAAAATAAGTAAATCTTTAAAAAAAAATGCGTCCCCAGCTAGTTTAAAATAAATTTGTGTATATGCATGCAAGCATATTATATATTCAGATTAATAGTAAAGAAAAAAAAAGCTAAGGGAAAATCTATTGTCATATGCTAGTGTTGGCTAATGAACAGACTCTTTATTAGTTGCTCATTTTAAGTTTGTAATTTTGTTTTTGTTGAGGATCATGAATTGATCGTATTTTTTTCAGTCTCTAGCCTTTCATTGGCATCACTGACCACAGGCGATAACGAGAGCTTGCATTCAGGCAAGAGGACACCCAGGTAAATCCACAGTGTGAATATTTTTACTAAAAATATTGGTACCTGTAATTACTACAGAGTCCTCAGTATCAACCCTGTAGTGAATTGTAGTGTAGTGTATTTTATGATAACTGAATTTTAATCACAAATTTTTGTGGTTTGCTAACTTAACACTACATAGGTTTTCTGTTCGAAGAAATTATGTAAGCTGTTCTTTTCATTTAGTGTGTCTCTTAGAACTTGGAATTAATGGCATTGTCAGGATACTCTGTATACTATAAAACATTAACAATAATTACGCATCAGTAATTGCTAATATGATTGTGATGATCATGATTGTTAAAAAATGCATAACCTATATAATACCAGCATCTCTAGCTTACTTCCTATTGATTATAAAGAGTTTTTCCTCATTAGGATAATTCCAGAACAGACTACCTATGCCATAGTGAAGATCTCTTGCACTCTTTCCCTAGAATAGTTTAGAAGTTAAAATCAGGTCTACTGCCATCCGACCCTGAACGTGTCTGATCTTGAAAGCTAAGCAGGGTTGGGCCTGGTTAGTACTTGGATGGGAGAAGTGGAAAGTCAGTATTTTACTGTCTTGTCAAAGAATGTCCTAGAGCCAGTCAGCACTGTGAAGCTCCAGTCTGTGTTATCCTGTGGTAACATTTTCCTGTCTCAACTGGAAAACATGTAATCTTTCCCCACACATTGTCCGAGATCTGCCCATGCTGTGACTGAGATGGCGTTGGCACTAGCTTGTTCTGTAACTTCTAGGTTGGGGTGGGTTGGTACTCTCACACAGACCCTCTGGTGCAAGACATTAAAGCATATTTTACTTGCTATTTAGATCAGAGTCTGTAGAGGGCTTCTTATCTCCCAGTCGCTGTGGCAGTCGAAATGGAGAAAAAGACTGGGAAAATGCATCAACAACTTCTTCCGTGGCTTCTGGAACAGAATACACAGGTTAGTGTCCATACATTTTTAAATAAACATTCTAATACATTGATAAGACCAAAATTTTGTGACTATACGGAATAAAGTTTTATTGGCTCATCTTTGATTTAATTACAATAGATCAGCTAAAAATAGGGGTTAATTCAGTAACTCCACTTGAAGCACCAGCATCCCCCGTGGGCACCAGTTTGATTCCCTATTGCTCCAGCTTCCCTTCCAGCTCCCTGCCTGTGGCCTGGGAAAGCAGTCAAGGACAGCTGAAACCCTTAGGACCCTGTCCCTGTGTGGGAGACCCAGAAGAGGCTCCTGGCTCCTGGCTTTGGATTGGCTCAGTTCCAGCCAATGCGGCCAGTTGGGGAGAGAGGCAGCAGATGTAAGATCTTTTTCTCTGTAAATCTTACTTTAAAACAAACAAACAAACAAACAACAAAAAAAACAGGTCAGTGATAGAGCACCATTTAAGGAGGTATAGTGCCTTGTTCCAGATGTCTTAAGTGATGCCACTTACATCTCCTCTCTCTGCTTCTAACTTAAAATGGCAAGGCAATTCTATGGTGATTTACATTTGAAGCCATATTTTAAACATTTGATTTATTTTAAAGGCAAAGTTACAGAGGGAAGGAGAGTAGGAAATGCCTTTCTATGCGCTGGTTACCTCCCTAAAAAGCCTCAACACTACAGCTTGGCCAGGAGGAAACCAGAAGCTGCTTCTCGGTCTCCCATGTCAGTGCAGGGACCGAAGCATTGTGCCATCCTCCACTGCTTTCCAAGATACATTAACAGGGTGTTGGATAGGAAGTGGAGCAGCCAGGACTTGAACTAGCACCTTTATGGGATGTAGCATTGCAGGTGGCAGCCAAACCCACTGTGATATAGTGTTGGCTCCAGGTCTGAAAAATTAGTATAGAAATTTTGTCAGCAATACATGAAGACAGAGAGAGAGAGAACATGAGTGCTTCCATCTACTGGTTGACTGCCTGAATGGCTATAATGGGTGGGACTGGGCCAACCCAAAGCCAGGAGCCAAGTACTCCATTTGGGTCTCTCAGGTATACACAGGCACCCTAGGATTTGGGCCATCCTTTGCTGTGCCAGGCACATCAGCAGAGAACTAGGTGGAAAGTGGAGCTGTTGGGACTAAGCTGTCACTCTTATATGTTGCAGGTAACCACAGTGCTAGCCACATTGTTCTTTCAGAGCTTCTTAATAATTATTAAAGGTGTATAATTCGAGTTACCTGAAATCCCAATGTTAGAAGGATTCTGGATTCTAACCATTTTTAGAGATTTTATTGGCAGCGGGGAGGCGGGGGGTGGTGGGAGGAATGAGCAAGAGTGCATCTATGTGCTGATTCACTTCCCAAATGGTTGCAACAGAAGATTGAAGCCAGGAGCCAGGAACACTATCTAGGTCTCCCACATGGTGGCATGGACCCAGATGCAGCCTGTGTGTGCTCTGCGGCTTCAAAGGCACATTAGCACGAAGCAAGATTACAGGTGGAGCACCCAACATTGAAGCCAGCCTGTCCATGTAGGAGGCCAGTGTTGCAAGCCACAGTATCATCCCTGGGTTCTAGCTTGTACTCAGGACCTGTGTGCTGCTCAAAGAATTGACTGGTCCAGTGAAGGGAGAAGCACAGTGAAGGCCGGAGCAGGCTGGAGCTGAGAGCTACTCCAGGTGTACTTCCCCCGGCTCCTTTTTCCTTCCTACTCTGTGGCTTTTAGTGCAACCTCCTATAGCACATCTTGCAATCTTTAAGTCCTAGGGTTGGGCTATTTGCATATTACTCCCTCTGCCTTTCTATGTCAGTTCAGTTGAACAGTCTGAAAAAGATAAAGCTATTTTGGGTATTTTTTAAAAGCTTTAATTACTCATGGACCCATTCCACTTTAAGCTTACCAGTAACCTTACTAGACTTAACAGAGGCTAAACAGACAATGTGACAATTATAGAAATATCTTATTTTAGCACTGTTTTCATGGGCAATTTTCAGAAAGCCAGAGGAGGGGCCAGCATTGTGGTCTCACAAGTTGAGGCACCACCTGTAAGGCTGGAATCCCAAACAGGCGCTGATTCAAGTCCCAGTTATTCCACTCCAGCTCCCTGCTAACACTCCTGGGAAAGCAGCATGGGGTGGCCCAAGTGCTGCATCCTGCATCCACATAGGAGAACTGGCAGAAGCTCCCTGCTCCAGACCGTTTGGGGAGGGAGTGAACCAGCAGATTGCAAGATCTCGCACTCTCTCTCTCTCTCTCTCTCTCTTTTTCTCTCTCTCTAACTCTGCCTTTTAAACAAATAGATAAAATAAGCCTTTTATTTTTATTGGAAAGGCAGATATACAGAGAGGAGAGACAGAGAGGAAGATCTTCCATCCAATGACTCCAAGTGAGCGCAATGGTCGATGTTACGCCGATCCGAAGCCAGGAGCCTCTTCTGGGTCTCCCACGCGCGTGCAGGGTCCCAAAGCTTTGGGCTGTCCTCGACTGCCTTCCCAGGCCACAGGCAGGGAGCTGGAAGGGAAGCGGGGCTGCCAGGATTAGAACCAGCGCCCATATGGGATCCCGGGCGTGCAAGGCGAGGACCTTAACCACTGCGCCACCGCGCCATCGCTCCGGGCCCTATAAAATAAGCCTTAAGAAAAAAAAGACAAAAAGCCAGAGGAACCTCTTCCAGAGATTTTCCTGTGTAAACAAAACCAGGCTTTGATGAGACTGCAGCCCGTAGGAGGTCTTCAAGCACTGAATTCTGTTCTCTTACAGTGTTGCACCAGCATAGGAACAATTTCGTCACTTTAAAATAGCAGGGATTTTTTTGGTTTTTTTGTTTGTTTCTCTTAGGAAAGTTATTTTTGTTACTATTACTAAATCTTAGAAATGTTATTTTTGTTCTTGTTATTAAATCCTTACTGCAGGACCAAAGCTCTACAAAGAACCCAGTGCAAAATCCAATAAGCACATAATTCAAAATGCTTTAGCTCATTGCTGTTTGGCTGGAAAAGTAAATGAAGGTCAGAAGAAAAAGATACTAGAGGTAAGCATGTTTGCACAAAAATTATATTTGTCAACATCCTAAAATTGTGAAGTCCTGTCAGTTCAAGATAAAGTGCCCTTATAGTCATCCTAAACTTTGACCTGTAACCTGTTGTCTTAATTATTAACACTGAGCTGGTTCAGTCTCAGATTGGGTTCTAGAAGACTACAGATTTAAAGACCAGATATAATACCTTAAGATCTGTCTTTAACTTAATGTCATAAAATTTGGCCATATTCCAACTGCTCAAAGTTTCATATTTGTTTTGTTTTGTTTTTTATCCTAAAGGAAATGGAGAAGTCTGATGCAAACAACTTCTTAATCTTGTTCCGGGATTCAGGCTGCCAATTCAGATCTCTTTATACTTACTGCCCAGAAACTGAAGAAATCAATAAACTAACTGGGATAGGCCCTAAATCTATCACTAAAAAAATGATTGAGGGACTTTACAAATACAATTCTGACAGGAAACAGTTTAGTCACATACCTGCTAAAACATTGTCGGCCAGCGTTGATGCAATTACCATTCATAGCCATTTATGGCAGACCAAAAGACCAGTAACCCCAAAAAAACTCTTACCCACCAAGCCATAGGAGCTGGGAAGTATTTGCTTCAGATCATTCGTGGTACATTTGCACTTCATCTTTCCTGCCTACAGAAAATCTTTCTAATTGCCAACAAGACTTTTATTAATTTAAACTGGACACTAAGCTCTGTTGTCAAGAACAACTGGAATACAAACCACAGTATTTTGGAATCCAGAAGATTCTCGCTTAGGTGATAAGGTCAAGAGATGAAGGAAATGTTTTGATTCGCCATTGGAGATCTGTATGTTACAAGGTTTACCTGCTTAGTATTAGATCCATTGAAGCACTGAATTTTTATGGACACTAATTCCATTTATGGTTGACATGGCTAGGATTGCAAATTATGTGTTTTATTTGTTGCTTTTTTTTTTTTACCCTTCAATGTCCATGCCTGTCTTCAGGTGGTCTGTTTTGTCATTTCTTCTTCTGAGTTCCTTTGTATTTTGTTTCATATGGAGATCATGAAAGTAGGAAATAGCCTTCAGGGGTAACCTGCACCTTTCTTAATGACGTGAAGAGAAGCACTAGTGTTTAGCTTTACAGTGACCCTCATGTTTAAATGGTGTTAGAGCATTTGTAAAGATTATTCTGCTGAGTATTTACAATTCTGTATTTATTATCACTCAAGTATTAACATTTCTGTATTAAATTAAGAAAAGGTGTTATAAAGAGCTGCTAGTAGGTTTGCTTTAAACCACATGAGCTTATAACCAAGAAATGCTTTCACAGGCTGCTGATTAAATCAGTGATATTCTTGTGCCACTTCTGGCCAACTCAGAATAATTAAGATTTTTTTTTTTTCACAAAAATAAAAAAGCTTTCTACTCTTTTAAAGCAAGTCACTTTATAAGCTGGCAGAAGTGAATGACACTTAGTCTGAAGATACAAGACTTCCTGAATTAGGTTCTCAAGAGGTCTTTATATTGTATTTATAACTGATAGAAAAAGTGTATTTAGAATTTTTAAACCTGTCCAAAGGGCTACATTTTAATTTTAAGATAGTGTCACATTATTTTACTTACTCTGGGTTCTTTTTAATTCTCTTCAAGTGGAGCAGCTTAGGTTAAGTGCACACTTGAATTCTCTTCTATGTGATCCTTGTTGTGTAACTGTGTATACCAGAGGGTTAGTTGGGGAAAACTTCATTCTCAGGAAAAGGTTTGAATGACTCTGTGACCCTGTTCTGTTTCCGTGTTGTGACAGCTGTGTAAACTTGGGAGGGGGAGGCAGTATTGTATCATATGAGATGGGTAGTTTGTTTTCTTTCATGGGAAGTAGAGATGAAAGGGTGTACAGTTCTCTAATTGAGGTGTTTAGAGAGACAACTAACGTCTGATAGGATGTATTTACTTATTTAAGAAAAAGCATAGGAATGAGATGTCCCTGAGCTGTACTTTTCTATCATTATAAGGCCTGTAGGCATCATTGCATCTGGGTTACCAACATTTTCTCAAATGCTGTCAATATTTTACTGTAATTTATGTTCTTATATTTATGTATATTTGTTAAAACTGTAAAAAAAATTTCTCAGATTTTTTTCCAATACCTGTGCAAGATATATGTGTAACTCAAAATTATTTGTGATCTACTGTTTGCATGTAAGAGACCAGGATATATAACTCTTATATTTTAAGTGTATACATATTGTGTATATAATATATGACTATTAAAGTGGAAAATAGCACATTTTACCTTTCAGACACAATTTCTATCACAATTAGAAGGAAGCAGTTGTCAAATACATGTTTAGAGTAAGACTAGTGTAAAAGGCTAAGCAAATTAATCAAGATAATGGTAAATGATAGTTAAAACAAGAAGTTAATATGCATCCTGCATCACTTACTCAATTAGATGTCCCTTATCAAAGCAATCTTTTTCATGCTGATATTACTTGGCTGACAAAGACAAACAGGCGGTGAGACAGTGGAGGATCCACGGAAGCAGAAATAGGAGAGCCCTTTATTCTTACATTGGTCTGTGTCCAGCAACTCGGTGAATGGCCACGATGTGTAAAGGTAGAATGTGAATATTGCCACAAAGTTCATTGCTCTCAGTATAAGATTTTACTTTATTAATGCAAAAGGAATATGAATATATTTCTTTAACTCTGCAAATGTTTTATTACGGTGCATTTTTTTTTTTTGAATTATGTTTTTAAAATCATATAAATGAAAAAAGATGCCATTTGGTAAAGTCAGGATTTCCTTACACCTTCTGGAACCCACTGGTGCTTTCATTGATCAGAGGTCAAGTCGTTCTGATAACGACTCAGTTATGTTGCCAAATGTAGATTCTTCTGTTTGACACAGCTTTGGAAAGGTTTTCATTCCTCTCAGTTTTTCAGTTTTGTCTTAGGATGACTGTTACAGTTTTTATTTGGCTATTTTAGCCATGTTCAGCTGTTGAGTTCTGATGTCATGGTCACTGTTGGGTATTGCGCAGTGTATGATGTGCTGACCTGCCCACCCTAGAGCATTGCTTACAGAGCTGGTTTTTTTGTTTGTTTGGTTGGTTGGGTTTTTTTGTTTGTTTGTTTGTTTTGTTTTAAGATGCTGTGCTGTAAAATACTGTCAGATTTGCTATTTCCTGGTACAGTGTAGTTTTTCCCTTTTCATTTGAATAAAAGCATGGCACCAAATAACTGCTTTTCTGTTTCTTGCATAAAATATATTCTTTATTAACATTATTTGAATTTCAAAGAACTCACCATGTAGTTGTCCTACCTCTTAATCTATGTTTAATAATTTGAATATTCCTAAAAAGCAGTTTTTAATAATGCTAGTTACTTACTGACATAAGTCTATAACAGTCTATAACTGTTTCCCTTGTACAGTCTACATGATATGTAAATGTTTACACTCACCTTACTTAATTTTGTCCATTTTAATTTGGTATGTTTTTGGTTCATTAATAACAAAATTGTGCCAGAATTAATGTTCTTCGTTCACCTTTAAACTTGGACAGCTAATGAACTCACTAACCTATAGAGCAATGGGAAGCCAGTTCTTGCTCATTTTTATTTATGTATTTATTTGAAAGAGAGAAAAGAGAGCAAACTCCTATCTATTAGTTTGCTCTCAGAATATCTCTGCTGGTCAGCAATAAGCTGGACAAGAGGAGGAAACCTGGAACTTCATGTGGCTATCCTGCATGTGGGACTGGCACCCAGTGATGTGAGCCATCAGCACTGCTCCCAGAATGTACTGGCAGGTGCCTAGAGTCAAGAGGCAGAGGTAGGTACTCAGATCAGATCAGAAGCTCACCCCTGGAACTTTTGTTTTCAGAAGTGTCTTCATTGGGATGGATGTTTGATGTAGCAGGTCAGACACCTACTTGGGATACCTGTATCCCATTCCAGAGTAAATGGGTTTATGGTCTAATCTGGCTCAGGGCGTTTAATCCCTGCTGCCCACATGGAAAACATTGACTGAGTTGCTGGTTTCTGGTTTGGTCTGGCCCAGTCTTGGTTGTTAAAACATTTGGGGAGTGAACCAGTGTGTCTCTCTGCCTTTCAAAAAAAACTATCTTGATGCAGTAGACCGATGGTTCTTAATGAGGGTAAAGGGAACCAGCATCTTATTTTATGATGTATCTGAACAAAAAGTTAACAGGAAATAAAAACAGCAGAAGACCATAGGGGTAATGCCTTGGCCTGGGAATGAGAAATTGGAGAACACATGTGTAACACAGTTGGAGGTTCCATCAGCCCTCAGAAGCGTATAAATGTTCAAGAAGATAAAGCTATTGTCTACTTGAATGGAAGTTTTGCTCCACAAAGCAACATGAGCCATTAAGGTTGTTGTATAACTTGATGAGGTGTTGAAGGTACACAGGCTGGTGCATGTTACTCTTCCCTTACTGGCCTTCAGGCACCTCAGTATTCCAAGTCTGGAAACTGTAGCCACAAAAATGATTTTCCATATTGGCTTGTGTTTGTGTCAGAAAAAATGGGGAGGGATTTCTGTACTTTTCCATTGGATAGGACAAATGCAGTGAATTTACTTAAAAAGTTTTTAAGACCCAACAAGTTTTTTTTTAATATGTTAATCAAGCCTACTGTAATACTTGGACTACCAACGTATTCTGTTATTCTTCACTCCAGTCTGCTATTTCAAGTGACAAGACAGACCTTCCTTCGTTGGTGCTGGAGACATCCTGGGCGAGGCTGCAGGACACAACACAGGATGGTACGTGTGGTCTGCTGAGCCTCCAGTTTACACACGGCTCTCAACCCCAAAACAGAGTATCCATCTGAATCCTACTTTTTAATGTAAAAGTTTTCTTGATTTGCTTTCTGCTTTAGTCTGCACAGCCTGTGACATGCATTTACATCTCCCTTTTACAGTTGGGGATACAGTGGCTTTAAAAGGTTAGAAATTGGCTCAGGGCTAATAAATGGCAACATGCTAATTTCATGTCCCCTTCTCTAGAACTGGACATTATGGCATAGTCAGTTGAGCCTCCACCTGGGACACACCCTCCCATACTGGAGTTCTGGCTCCTCCACTCAGCTTCCTGCTATTGCACCTAGGGAGGCCGAGCATGATAATCCTCATGTTCCTAGAGACTGCTGCAAGAGAGGTACCTGTCCCCCAAAAGAAGAGTTTAGGCCAGTGGCAGTAAGCAAACTAATGACATTTAATGACCTGACAGGTGAGAATTGAGCCCAGTCTACAGGGACAGGATGACCTGGGTGTCAGATGCACCTTTTCTTGGTGTTTCTCCTACCCCGTGCTTCTGGGACACTGCTGGCCAGAGGATCTTTTAGGAATGAAATTCGTCTTGGGGCTTTGTTGCATGGTGTTATTGGACAAAACATCCCCATTGTCCTTGAGCCAGGAAGATTTCCCCCTGGCACTTGGAGTGGGAGGGACAGGAGCCTCTCCTACAAGATGATCAGACACAAGCAGAACTTTTTTTCCTTAAGTTTTTTGTTTTGTTTTTTTAAGATTTATTTTTATTGGAAAGGCGGATATACAGAGAGGAGGAGAGCCAGAGAGGAAGATCTTCATCTGTTGGTTCACTCCCCAAGCAGCCACAACGGTCCAAGCTGAGCTGATCTGAAGCCAGGAGTCTCTTCTAGATGGGAAGCAGGGCCGCTGGGATTAGAACTGGCGTCCATATCGGATCCTGGCATGTATAAGGCAAGGACTTTAGCTGCTAGGCTGACATGCCAGGCCCATGGGCAGGACTTTTGATGTGTGAATGCCAGGCTGTTTTCTGGAAGGCTTGTAAAGGTCCTACCCTGCCAACCCCAGTTTAACTGAATAAACCTCCCATTTTTGGCTCCTCCATCCCTCACACTCACATAGGCTAGTGTCTGCCTTCCTGCCTAACACAACCAATGGATCTCTGCCATCCACTTGGGAAACCTGCTCTAATGATGACTTTAAAAGGCCTAACAGCCCTGTTTTGGACAGCACTGTTTTAAGAACCGAGAATTGAGCCCTCTCTCCTGCTGCAGTCTCAGCTGGGGCTAAGTGTTGTGGCCTCCGTGAGCATCGCACTGGTTCTCTACTCTGGAGGCCCCTCCTACCAGACGCAGAACACGAAGGAGACATGCAGTACATCTACATACATAAAGAAGGTGACAGTGTCTGCACTCTTACTGTTAGCACCTCAACACAGTAGGTGTTGAGTAAACATTGTGCCATACATTAAAAGGAGGGTCACCCGGGACCAGTGTTGTGGTACAGTGGGTGAAGCCACTGCTTGAGACACCCATAGCCTATAGTTCAAGTCCTAGCTGCTCTGCTTTCAAAACAGCTCCCTGCTAATGTGCCCAAAAAGGCAATGGAACACAGCCCAAATACCTGGGCCACTGCCACACACATGGGAGACCTGGCCAGAGTTCTTGGCTCCTGGCTTTGGTCTGTCCTGCACCTGGTTCCCATGGTTATCTGGGAGAGTGAACTAGTGGATGAAGGATCCATTGTTCTCATTCTATCACTCTACCTTTTAAATACTAACTTTCAAAATAACAGTAGTAAATAAAGGCCACTCCTAATCAGAATTCACATTGTGACCCACAGCTTGGTCTGATCGCTACTGAACTGCCCTAATTGCAAATTTCCTGTCACCTCTCTGTGGCTCCTCCCCTAGCAGATGATGTGTCCACCTCTAAGTTTGGTCCTTCAAGCTCCTTTCTGTCTGCACTGTCTGAGAAGCACCCCAGGGTCAGCCCTGCTGACACCTCCAGCAGAACCTAGCTGCACCCTAAAAGCCACCCCTACCCCCACCCTGTCCCACCTAGGCGTCTCACTGCCATCGCTGCATCTGCACCTGGAAGTTCAACTGTTAAACACCAACTGTCGGCTTCCCAGTCCAGTGGGCTCCTGGCTGCAGTGTCCCGCACCAAGACTGAGAGTCGATGTCTTCCCTGGGCACCTGCACCCGTGTGGAAGGACCTGTAAGACGCTGTTGGCTCCTGGCCTTGGATTCAGCTCAGTTCTGGCAATTGTGGCCATCTGGGGAGTGAACCCGCAGATGGAAGATCTCTCCGTCTTCCCTGCTCTCTAACCTTGCCTTTCAAATAAAAATAGTCTTTAAAAACAAAGTCAAACCATGGGACTTTTTCTCACAATTCCTTAGTAGTGTGCAATTATATTTCATTTGATTGAAAGAAATCTCCCACCTGTTTTTTCACTTGCCTAGTGCCCACTACAGGTGGGCTTGGGCCGGCTAAAACAGGGGCCTGGAACTCGGTCCAGATCGCCAGTGTACAAGACAGGGACTCAAGAACTTGAGCTGACATCCGCTGCCTCCCAGGGGCCACACCAGCAAGAAGCTCCCAAAACAGAACTGGCACACAAGCCCAGGAACCCCAATATGGGACATGCCCGTCTTCATCGGCAGGGCAGACACTGCAGACGTCCCTCGTGACCCTTGAGAGTCGCTGAGAAGAGTAATCTCGTGGGCCCCGGCCCGTTGAAGGTCTCCATTCTGTTTTCCAGGCTGCTGCTTTCCACAGACCCTTCATGGGAAAGGCTGAGCTGCTTCAATCTCGACACAAGATAGGTGTCACCATCTGCCCTAAAGCAGCATTGTCCACACTGCGCAGCCTCTCCGATACTGCAGAAGCCCCCTGAGAGGGAGCCTGTGAGTGTCTGCCACGTGCTGCCACAGGCACCAAGGTGACCTAAGGAGTGACCAAGGTGACCAAGGTGCCTGACAGAGTGGCAGCAGCACCACCCTGGACAGGGAACTCTGCCAGCTTCCTGCTGCAGACAGCCAGCAGGTACACGCATGGCAACATGGAGCTGAAAAGCTAAGAGAGCAGGACGATCACTATGAAGGAAAAATGGCACTTGCTTTCCAAACAACTTCTTGGGGCCTTTGCACATCAAGGAACTTCATGCCTTATCTTTCAACCTTCTTATGGCTCTGCTTTTTGCCTGTAGAAGCACCTCTGAGCAACCTGCCTGGGAGAAAGACTAGCATCTTTCCTGGAAAGCCACACTCCTCGCCCCCCTCCTCCCCACTCCATCCCTGGCTTTCCCCCAGTGGAGGGGCCCTGGGGACAACGTCACAGCTGCAGGCCACAAGATTTTCGCACTGAGTCATGCCCTCAGCAGCAGGGGCTGCAAGCCAGGCTCAGGTCTAACAGGCTGCCTGATTTAGTACCTGAAAGTTGTTTAAATAAACGGACACCTGGAACGATTTGCAGGGCCTTGTCCCATGTGAGCCCCCATCCCTTGGTTGGGGGAGGAGACTGCAGGGACAGGCAAGGGTTGATGCTGCCTCCTCCTGTCCTCCAGCTGCACCCGCCTCACTCATACACACACACTTTGATCTTCAGGGGAAAACCTCAGCTTGGTAGTAATACTTGGGCACTTTAAAAATTTTGTGGCAATGGAATTAAACTAGCACAAAAAAATTTCCAATACATGCATATGCATTTTCCATGGACATTTTGAAAACTCTGCCATGCATGATTCCAAAACCCTATTGCAACCAAATAAATCTCTCAAATTCATTTTCCATAACTTTTTGAAGTGCCTCTGTGGTAAAGGAGTTCCCCACCTCAGTTAAACACTAACCAAGCAAAGGTGAGGGGACACGCGTAGCCACCCAGGAGATACCCAGGACACGCATGGCTACAACAGGATACATTCAGGGGACATATGTAGCCTCACAGGAAACTCTACATGACAGGCACAGTGTCCTGTGTCCCCACAGCAACTGGGGGACTCCAACCACCATTAACTACAGTGTCTAGCCTTAAAGAGCCCCAAGGGATGGGCCCAGTGCAGTAGCCTAGTGGCTAAATCCTCACCTTACATCCGCCAGGATCCCATATGGGTGCTCCATTTCCCCTCCAGCTCCCTGCTTGTGGCCTGGGAAGACCTAGAAAAAGTTCCTGGCTCCTGGCTTCAGATCAGCTCAGCCCCAGCTGTTCCAGCCACTTGAGGATTAACCAGCAGGTGGAAGATCTTTCTGTATATCTGCCTTTCCAATAAAAAATAAAGATTTTAAAAAAGAAAACAAACATTCATTTTAGATAAACAGAAAGAGCTCATGTTCACAGGTTCCCTCCCAAATGCCCACATGGCTGGTGCTAGGCCAGGGTCAGCAGCCAAGAATGCCAGGTCTCTGTCAGAGGGCAGGGACCTGTGTACTTGAACTTCTCCCAGTGTCCTCAGTGGTCTGCATTTAGCAGGAAGCAGTCAGGGGCCTGAGCTGTGTGACAAGGGTGTCTTAATGCCCAGGGTAAGTGCCCACCTCATCTCGTAAGCCCTCGCTTAAATGGAGATTCGCTGAGATAGAATATGAAGAAAACGCAGACTCCAAGGACTTTTTTTTTAAAGATTTATTTATTTTTATTGCAAAGTCAGATATACAGAGAGAGGAGGAAAGACAGGAAGGTCTTCCATCCGATGATTCACTCCCCAAGTGACCACAATGATTGGTGCTGAGCTGATCAGAAGCCAGGAGCTCTTCCAAGTCTCCCACATGGGTCCCAAGACTTTAGTCCGTGCTCGACTGCTTTTCCAGGCCACAAGCAGGGAGCTGGATGGGAAGCGGGGCTGCCGGGATTAGAACCGGCACCCTTATGGGTTCCTGGTGCGTTCAAGGCGAGGACTTTAGCCGCAGGGCCACCACGCTGGCCCCCCAATGACAGACTTACAAGTGAACTCTTTGAAAATCTTATTGCATTACAAATAAGTTTGCCAAAAGCTACACATGGCTTTGCTGAGGTACTGGGTCTGGGATGACTTTTCCACATTCCACCACAGTGTGAGTTTATGATGAACAAAGACAGATGCAATTTTTAAACTTTCCTTAGGGGCCAGCATCGTAGCATAACAAGTAAAGCCACTGCCTGAGCCATTTTTGTGTCTAGTTGTTCCATTTCCAATCCAACCTCTTGCTGATGGCCTGGACTGGACCAGTATCAGGGCCCCTGTAGCCCACATGGGAGACCAAGAATGAAGCTCCTGGCTCCCGCCTGGCCCCAGTGCTGCTGTCGAAGCCATCTGGAGAGTAAATTAGTCAATGGATAACCTCTCGCTCTCTCTCCCCTTGTAACTTTCAAAATGAATCTTTTATTTTTTAAGAAAACAATTTTTGCCCACAGTATCAGACTATTTAGAAAGAAAAAATTAAAACAGAAAAATACATCGCAACAGTTTAAATATAGCCCGAAAACAGTGTGACTCAAGGTGTTGGGGACTTACTCGTTGAAGTTTATCTCCTCTGTTCTCGGGTTTGTGCCCATTGCCATGATGAACAGAACTTCCACTGACGCCGAGGAAATTAAAGGTGCCCCCACAGTACAGACAGGAAGGCCTGTTGGGGGGAGTGTCGGAACGGCCCCCAAGGGTGCAGTGAAGGGAGAAGGAGAAAGTTTCTGTGCTGCTTGTTTACATCTGATGGACATGGGTGGCCTGACCACTGTGTCCACTGGTGACTTGTTTGTAATGTGGGGACTCCTCCTGAGGGGTAGAAGGGACAACAGTCTCCTGAGGTTGGCCTTGGTCACTGAAACCAGGCAGCTCGGGCCTTGTGGCTTCTCCCACACAAATGAGTTCAGGAAGGACCACAGATGGCACCCAGGCACGCATTCTCAGGGCCACGGACTTCCCACGGGCACATTAGCAAGGCTCCAGGAAGCCAGAATCTTCATGTTTTTCAAAACAAACAACCTGTTTCGACTTCCTCTTAGCCGCCTGCCTGCAGTTTGTTCGCTTTTCACCTCTGCTCTCAGGACCACTTAACGCTGTATGATGTCCCACTGCAGGTGGGCTCTGTACAAGCAGGCACTGGCCAACCAGGGGGATGATCTTCAGCAAAGACCCCCAGCCCAGAGGCTGACCTGCGTTCATGCATTAATTCATTTGATCCCTGACCTCTTTTCTTGCCTACATTTCCCCAGCCTACTGTTGGTCTGGGAGAAAAATCCTTAACAGGAATAGTCTGGACATGGCCCAGTTCCCCAGGAATCTCCCAAGCCTTCTCCAGCTCCCCACTGGGGATCTCCAAAGGCCAGAGACACCTCACGCCGTAGTGACCATAAGAGGCTATTGACCTAGCCTTGCCCTGGCTCGTGGCCTAGCTTGATGAAGAAAGTTGTAGTTTGGATCACAAGTTATTTCATCACCTACCCAATCAATCTCATGCTGAATACACACACACACAACACACAACACACACACACAACCACTCCAACACGAATGGAGGGGACAGACCCCAGGCCCACCTCTCACTACTTCCTGCTGACACCTGCAATGCCACAACGCATTCTCTCAGGTTGATCCTCTCCTTTCGGTCCTCACTGCCAGTAATCGGCTTCAGACACACAGAACCACGACAGCTTCCCATCTCCAAACTGCAGAGCTGATCTGCTCAAAAGTCATGTGTGTAGACTCCTGGCATGTTGACCAGTGCACTTACTACACACATCTCTGTCTGTCTCTCTCTCTCTCTCTCTCTCTCTCTCTCTCCCTCACCCCCTCCCTCCCTCTCCCAACCTCCACCATGCCCCATCCCTGCCTAAGCCATGAACTTCTGGCTCAGGGCTGGTATTATAGCCAAGCGAGTTAAGCCACTGCCCGTGTGCTTGCATCTCATACGAGCCGTGGTTCAAATCCCAGTTTCTCTGCTTCTGAGCTCTGCTTCCCATGCAGCTCCCTGCTAACTCATCTAGGAAAGCAGAGGACGGCATGGGCCCCTGCCACCCATGGGGAAAATGAATAGCGGATAACTGGACTCATGTTCAACAGTTGCCTGAGCGTGAGTTACTCTGTCCCAGGGAAACTCTGGGCACACTTCACTGGAGGGGCATCTGAAGTGCCTGGGAGAATTTCAGGAGGAAGGAGCCCCCACTCGCTCACCCCTGCTCTGCTCCTGAGGTCAGTCCCCTCGCCTCTCCCCATCTCCTCCAGTCCTTCCCCTACGCTGGGTCCCTGGGGGCATCTCGCGCCTGCCCGCTGAGCTCCTGACTCCAGTTTAGGACAGCCCATCCAGGTTTCCAGAAGTGCCATCTTCTATGTGAGCTCAGCCGTGGCCTCGGTCTAACTGGTGTTAAGGTTAACTGGTGTTAAGGGGGAAAGGGGTGCGAAGCAGTCAGATTTGGATGCCTGCAAGAGCTCCTTCCCAGCAGAATAACCGGAAGCTATTTCTCTTGCCGGGGCTTCAGGAGACCTAAGCTGGGCGGGACCATGACAGAGCCCAGCCAACACCTCAACGGACTGAATGAGAGGGGGTGAGACACCCTCTCCAGCTGTGATTCCTTACCTCTAAGCACGAGAGAGGCAAAAGGGGCTGAGGCGGAAGGCTCAGGGTGCCCGGCAACCTGACTTCTTAACAATGGGACTTCAGACCCCGATTCCACAAGCAGGGAGGGGAAGCGGCAGGCTGTACTCCGACTGGAGGCCCCACGGTGTCAGGGCAGCCCCCACACAGCAGTCGCTATCTCCCAGGATCCGGTCTGAAGCCCCCGTCCCCGGCCCCTCAAATCGGGGCCCCCATCTCTACCACAGGATCCCGCCCCTCCCGCCCCACACCCTGCCCCCTTCCTGCCCACCCTTTCGGCCGGGTCTGAGCAGGCAGGAAGGGAGGTGCTGGGCACCGGCCGTGGAAAGAGCGCCAAGCCCCGGCACTGCTCAGCCGTCTCCGCCGCCCCTGCAGCCTGAGCGCGTCCATCCCTCCGTCTGTCCCTCTGTCCCGCGGCCGGCCATGCGCCCCACCGAGCCTTGGAGCCCCGGGTGGGGGCTGCCGTCCTGGGACTACTCGGGCTCGGGCGCGCTGCTGGATCTGGAGCTGGAGCTGTGCCCGTCCCGGGACCTGCCCTACAGCTACGCCTACATCCCTGCACTCTACCTGGCGGCTTTCGCCTTGGGCCTGCTGGGCAACAGCTTTGTGGTGTGGCTGCTGCTGGCACGGCGGCGCGGGCCACGGAGGCTGGTGGACACCTTCGTGCTGCATCTGGCGGCGGCCGACCTGGGCCTGGTGCTCACGCTGCCGCTGTGGGCGGTGGCGGCAGCGCGCGAGGGCCGCTGGCCCTTCGGCGAAGGCCTCTGCAAGCTCAGCACCTTCGCGCTGGCCGCGTCGCGATGTGCGGGTGCGCTGCTGCTGGCAGGCCTGAGCTTCGACCGCTACCTGGCCGTGGTGTGGCTGCTGGACGCGCGGCCACGGCGCACGCCTCGCTGCGCCCTGGCCGCCTGCTGCGGCGTCTGGGCTGCTGCAGTCCTGGCTGGCCTGCCAGCGCTCATCTACCGCGGGCTGCAGCCGCTGCCTGCCGGCGCGGGCAGCCAGTGTGGGGAAGAGCCCTCCGACGCCTTCCAGGGCCTTGGCCTGCTGTTACTGCTGCTCACCTTCGTGCTGCCGCTGGCAGTCTCCGTCTTCTGCTACTGCCGCATTTCGTGCCGCCTGCGCCGGCCGCCACACGTGGGCCGCGCCCGCAGCAACTCGCTGCGCATCATCTTCGCCGTCGAGAGCACCTTCGTGGGCTCCTGGCTGCCTTTTGGCGCCCTGCGGGCCATCTTCCACCTGGCGCGCCTCGGAGCCCTGCCGCTGCCCTGCCCCCTGCTGCTGGCGCTGCGCTGGGGCCTGACCGTCGCCACCTGCCTGGCCTTCGTTCACAGCTGCGCCAACCCGATCATCTACCTCCTGCTGGACCGCTCCTTCCGCGCCCGGGCCCGACTCAGGTTCTGCGGGCGCGCACACCTTGGAGTGCGCCGGGTCGGCTCGGCTTCGTCGCTTTCGAGGGACGATAGTCCCGTGTTCTGGAGCCGCCCCCAGCGCGTCGGCACCGCCACCACCACCGCCTCGCTGGTCCTGTAGGCGCCCGCAGACTGGTGGAGGTGCGCCGGGGGTGCGTCGTGGATGGAGAGCGGGGAGCAAGAGGAGACGGGAGCCCCAGGTGGGTCCCCGGCACTGCAGTGGCAGCCGCTCCCGCCTGCCTGGCCTGCGCTTAGCACCGCCTGGGTGTCCTCTTTCTGCTTCCCCCTATCCCCAGGCCGCTGGGACCAGTTGCTCCGGCAGCCCAGGCTGTGACCTGGGACACACAACGATCTGGGTACCTATAGGGCCACCACTTACAGAAGGGAAGTGGTTTTCTCCTCTGCACCCATCTCAACACCCAACCCCCAGCCGCAGAGTCCCCTCTTGTGAAGGCTGGCTCTGGACCCGTCTGCCCCCCACCACCTCCGCCTCCAAAAATCACACAGAACACGGGACTTGAGCAATCGAGATGACTGTGCGCTCTGCTTCTTTGACTGTGCCATGAGTCACCGCCAAATTCTGATTTTCATTTTCAAAGCTCCCCAAGTTACAAGAGCCGGTCCCCAGGACAGTACCCCCCCACAGTGCCCCCTGGTTTTGTGTCTGATGTTCACCTTGTCTGGCAAAGCTGCAGGACTCAACGCAGATGCTGCCCCTGTTTTTTCCTCTGGACCGCAGGCTGGAAGACCCCCAGCCAGCCCTCTTCACCCTCCATCCCTGGCCCGGGCACCCCCTCCCCCCCAATAAACACCTCTGCTGGCCGCCGCAGTCTGGCAACATATCTTGGCTTGAGCAGTGGGTGGGAAATGAGGGTTGGGAGCCAGGGAGTGCGCCAGGGCAGCCCCCCGGGGCTGGGTCGGGTCCGAGACCTGGTTCTCAGGCTGTGGAGCCCACTCTGCTACACGACCTTCTCTTGCATATTCAGAGAGGCTAGATCAGAGCAGACTGAACATCACATCCACCTGGCCCTGCCTGCCAGCGGCTCCACCCCTGCACCTGCCTCTCACACACCCCTGCAGCCTGTGTACACCTGTGTATCTCAGCCCTTTGCATGTTTGAGGTCCTCTTTGTATCTTGGTCCTGCTGACCTTCACTTTGTACCTGAAGCAAGAAATTATTATTATTATTTTGAGACATATTTGAAAGGCAGAGCAAGAGAGAGAGAGACAGAGGGAGAGACAAAAGGAGAAGGCAATCTTCCACCTGCAGGTTCACTCTCCAAATGGCCCAACAGCCAGGGCTGGGCCCAGTACAGTCAGGAGACAGGAGCGTCATCTGGTCTCCCCAGGACTAGTAGGGGCCCAAATATTTGGCTCATCTTCTAGTGCCTTCCCAGCTCCATCAGTGGGAAGCTGGATCGGAAGTGAAGCCGCCCAGACTTGAACCAGTGCTCTGTGCCAGCAATGCAAGCAACTCAACCCACTCTACCACAATGCCTGGCACCAGGAAATTCTATTTCTTGAGGCTGAGGCCTCCTGGGAGAAGGAGGCCTGACCCCCATGGTGGTAGTGGGGAGGTGTGAGATGCCAGCTTTAAAGATACCGCTTCTCTATGCTCTTGAAACTGAGTCCCCAACCCTTCAGTAACTTGCTTCTTCCATGGGTTGCCTAATGGGGTCCATGAAGGCAGGTGGGGCTGGGGGAGGGGAGGCTAGGAGGCTCTCCAGGCCCTAAGGGTGTCTGTCTAATTCCCCTGTGGTACTGACAACCCCCCCCCCCAATACACACACACACAAAATTTTGTAGAAGCTGTTTTTATTGGCAGCCCATGAGCACAGAAACTAAACTTAAACCAGCTCCGGGCTTTGGCTGGGTCACAAGTTACCTGTCCTTGGCACCAGACCCCACCTCCTTACGCTGCACCATCTGCAGCTGAAGAAGTCATGGGGAGGCAGTGGGGGAGGGCAGTAACACCTGCTGTGGCCACCTACCCAAGCAGACTCATGTTCTCCAGGTCCTTCATCGGGGTTGCGGCTCTGGACACCACGGATCTGCCCTCAGGACCAGCGGGTCTTGGACTCAGCCCCCCACTCCTTTCCCCTCGCCCTCCCCCTTGGGGGGTGGGGGTACAGCCACTGTTGCAAGGCCTCCAAAGAGGAAAAGGCTGGGCATGCGCATGTGGTTCTGATTTGCTTGCTATGACTAATTGCAAACTTTCTCTTCACCTCCTTCAACCCCATGCCTCCTTTCTGGGGGCATGAGGTGGGAACATGGACTGCCTGGGATGCTGAGTGATTTGGAGAGTTCATAAGGATGGCAGGGCTGGAGGAGAGCCCTTGGTGTCATGGCACCGAGGCACTCTGGGTGCAGAGTGAGGACCCCCAACACTTGTGGGGATGTCTGAGTTTGTGGAAGGGCTGACCACCCAGCCCCTGCCTTAATCAGGTGAGGCAATGCAGAGCAGACCAGGAAGTGCGCGGTAAACAGGCACTCCTCCTTCTCTTCAGAATCAGTGTGATTGCATCTTGGCAGAAAGCAGATGCGACCTGACATTCATCCGTTCGCATGCTCCAGGAGCAAGTCACTGCGTCTGTTCTAAAAACAAGCACATGCTTTTTTTTTTTTCCAATGATTTTATTGCTTGAATACAGAGTCAAATTTATGCCACCAGGGCAGAGGCTGTGGATGACTCATATTTCCAATTGGGGGGAGGACCCACTCAGTCTTGTAGTATCGAGCCAATCAGTGAATGCGGCTCTCTATCAGAATCAGATGGATTTGGCATCCTTATCCTGTCTGTTCCGCTCGAGGTGCTTCCGCACAGCAACCGCTTTCTTAATTAAATGATACAGAGCCTCAGGGAGATCAGGAGCCAGGCTGTTGGACTTCACGATCCTCAAGATCTTATTACCTGTCACAAAACGCACCTGAGCCGTGGGAGTCCCTCAGGATCACACGGATCTGGGAGGGAGTCAGGCCCTTCTTGGCCAGTTTGTAAATCTGCTCCTTCAGCTAGGTGGGGACGCTGCAGCAAAAGGGTAGAGCCGACTGGGATAGGCCGTTCCCCGGAGCGTGCATGCGACCCGTGATGGTGGCGGACAGGCAGCTGAGATCGAACAAGCACATTCTAAGAATGCTGGGCAGTCCCTTACACCTGTATAGGACAGCCCAGACTTTTAAAATCCACAAATCCCCGGAGCCTACTGGTTAACATATGCCCAAATCCCACATCAGTGCAATGGGGGGTTCATTTTGCAGCCCCAACACCTGCCCTTGGCTTCCTGCCAGTATAGACCCTGGGAGGCAGCAGTGACATCGGTCCACGTGGGAGACAGGATGGTGCTCCCAGCTCCCAGCTTTGGCCTGGGTGTTCAGGGAGTGACCAGAACACAGTCTGTGTCTCCACTTAAACCTCAAGGAAATAGACAAAAACAAAATCTCTCAGGGAGCACAGGCCCATGAACTCACACATTCCTGGGGCCTTCAAGACTCCTCTCTTCCTGATGAGGCTGAGGCTCTAGAGAACAGTCATTTGGGTCGCCAGCCAGCAAGCTACACCACTCAGGCCCAGTACCGCCTGGCTGCCTACTGCACCTGCCATGGCTCCTGGGGGTCACATTGTTGCAGGAATTTTGACTCCGAGTATGGCAGCAACCTCAAATTCTTGTCTCGCAGGAAAGAAGAATTTTCATGCGGACACAGTTTAGTTTTAACGCAAGATTTATTAGAAAGGCTGAGAAAAGAAGACTCCCGTCCTAGCGACGGGAGGGGGTTTTGAGATAGAAAAGACCCTTACCTCCTGCCATAGTGGCAGGAGGAAAAGTAAAAAGAACCCTAGTGCTCTGCCATAGTGGCAGGAGGCAAAGAAGTAAAAACCCGTATTAATGGTGGGGAATGCACCTTTTAAAGGTTTCCCTCAAAGATGTTTCTCCATAAACAAAGAAAGTTCCTGATTTCCAAGGTACCTGGCCTTGGGACAAAAGGTCACAGAGATACCAGACATAGGACATTCCAGGCCTTAGGCGATGTGTATTACTTCTTCCTGCTGTCCTTTCAATGATAAAGAGATCAGCCTGAGCCCCTCCCACAATGGCCAGAGGGGATGGCCGATACTTCAGGTGGGGAATTGATATGCTAATAGCATCCTTGTCCCTTGGAAGAGACGTGACCTGGTGAGTTCAAGACATGGTGGGGAAATTCTCTTTTACTGGGGGACCCAGAATACCCTAACTGCCTACTACCCACTAACTCCTCTCTCAACATGGAGGCACCCTCCACTCACTGAGTCCAATTCACACCTGAAGGCTCCTGGAGAGTCAAAAGGATAGCCTTTCCCTTTGGTTATTAGAGTCACACGGGGTATTTAAAAGCAGATACACCACTGCTACACCAGGAAGACCTTACTTCTAGACACATTAAAAATACATGGGTGGGACCCCTAGTGGCTAAAGTTCTGCTTGGAAGATCCAGGATCCCATATGTGCGCCGCTTCATGCCCCAGCTGCTCCACTTCCCATCCAGCTCCCTGCATGTGGCCTGGGAAAGCAGTCGAGGATGGCCCAAAGCCTTGGGACACTGCATCCACCTGGGAGATCCAGAAGAAGTTTCTGGCTCCTGGCTTTGGATCGGCTCAGTTCCAACTGTTGTGGCCACTTAGGGAGTGAACCAGCAGATGGATAATCTTTCTCTCTGTATATCTGCCTTTCCAATAAAAATAAATAAATCTTTAAAAAACACAAAAATGAATTAATTGTTCTGTTTTAAAGGAGGGGTGGCATTGTGGCATATCAAGTTGAACTGCTGCCTGCGGTGCTAGCATCCCATATAAGTGCTGGCTATTCTGTTTTCCATCCATCTCACTGCTAATGTGCCTGAGGAAATAGCAGAAGATGGTCCAAGGACTTGGAAGATCTAGAAAAAGCTCTTGGCTTCTGGCTTGTCCGCCCACAGCCCTGATTCTAATAGCTATTTGGGGAAATGAACCAACAGATAGAAGATCTCTCTCTCTCTCTCTCTGCTTGCCCCACAACTGTGCATTTCAAGTGAATAAATATTTTTATAAAATATGCAAGTGCACATTTTATTGCAACTATTGTTTGGGTGTGAGCCCCAGGCAGGCTCTGTTTTACAATTGCCCACCCAGAGCCTGGCACTAGGCTGGAACTTGGAGCTGTGGCTGAGTACACCTGGCCCTGCAGCTTGCCCTCCCACTGGACAATAGTCCATGCTTACCGTGTCATCAAATATTGTAAGAGGACATTGTGACCCTAAAAGGTCAGCGAGCACAGGATTACAGTTGATTGGATAACATTTGTATGAAAACAACCGAATGGCTACCTTTTGTTTACCTGATTGGATATCATTTGTATGAGAACAGTTGAGTGGACCTCATGTGCATGAGAACCCTTGGTGGAATATACCAGACAAAAGGAGTTCCAAACAAAAGCATAGAAACAGTTAATGGGTTTGGTTGATAAGCTCAATACCTCCTCCTTATCCCATATGACCCTCAATGTATAAAAGTCTGATGCCACAAATAAGCTTTGGCTTTTGACCATCAGTCAGAGTCCACGTGTTATTATTGGCTCTGTGCACCAAGTCCATTGCAGTGGGACAGCGATAAAATATTACTCCAGAACATATGTGAAAGCTTGCACAACTTCCTGAGGTGGCAGACACTTGTTCAATTGATCAAGATCTGTAACTTTTTCTTCCAGCCTTTTTGTGACTCTCGAAAGCAACCCAGTGACAAACATCCTTGTGTATGACTTTTTTTAAAAAAAGATTTATTTATTTTTATTGCAAAGTCAGATACA